AGATCGATGGCCTGGGAGGATTTCGACGCCGAAGCCATACCATTGTCCGCTGGCGGCGGAGTCCAGTCCACACGGCGTCTCAAAGCCGCCTCGAGCTCCAATGGCTCGTTTGCGTCCTTCTTTGGTGATGTTGGGAGTGGAGGTGAGTCCTCCTCGCCTTCATCCTTGGGCTTCGCAAAGTGATGACTCTGGACACCACTCTTCTTGGCTGCTGCCTTTAGCTTCGCAGCCTTGGGTTTTTTCTCAGACTTTGCAGCTGGTTTCTTGGGGTTCGCATATCTCTTCCACGGTGGACTAGCAGAGGCATCTTTGATCGGTTTAGACGGTGAAGGCGGTTGGAGCGCCTTTTTCTCGAGAACTTTGACGCCCCTCTTGCGTTTCGGTCTCGGTACATTTGCAATGGATATCACTGTAACCTCCTCTTCTTCTTGTGGTCGAGGTGGCACGGGCTCATCCCTGCATGGCGTTGTCAAGTCGATCGGAGGTTGTTCCTGACGGAGAAAGCTTGAAGGGTTGGTGAAGTGGTGGCTCGCATGTGTTGGGGTGGACGTGGCAGCCATGGGGCATCGGATGGGTGGTTGCTTGGGGAATTGAGACTGGATCTGGTCTAGGGATGGCAAGCTCGGCGAAGAGGAGAGCTTATAGGCGTCATGACGGGTGCTTCGAAACGGCGACCCCATCGTGAATCTCAGCGGACCCGTCGTGATGCGCAAAGCGCATGTTTTCGATGCAACTCGCAGCAGGTTGAAAGTTTGTGGGTATGGAAGGGAATAAAAGACCGTACGACTATGCAAAGGACAGAGACATGAGTTGTTCCCTTACTACTGAGTCAGGGCAATCGGTCGAGGGAGAGTAGCGCATTCGAGTGGCGGTGGCAGTTTGGAAGGAATTCACGCCGTCGACTTTGAACATCAACAAAGCACCACAGCACCCACCGGAGCCCACGCGCAGAAAGCGTGGAGGGGACCGAGTTTCCAGGCCTGAGTACGTTCCTTGTCTGCAGCAGGGGTACAAGAGACATCCTGGTCACTAAGCACAGACCACCACTTTCCAGGTTGGGCGATGACAACCCACTTATCTTATCGCGAACATGAGGTAAGCAAGGTCGCTAGATCCACGTGATCTCAACCCTTTCCTTCCGCTTCGGCCCGCCCACACGAAATTTCGAAAAAAGAAGGCAGTCAGTCAGGTCTACCACAGCTCTCCCGCATCTCGACCCCGCGAACGACAACATCCACGCAAACCACCACCTACTTGCTTCTAGTCAACCCCGAACGCAAGCCGCAGCAATGGAGAACGACAAGGGCGAGATCGTCGATCTGTGAGAAATGCCCCTTCCCCCATACCGAACCGTCCCACGAAATTTCCGCGCGACGAAATCGAGAGAGAATTGAAGCTTTCGCGGGAAAAGCGCGACTACACCAAAAATTCGATGTCGAGAGTCCCATGCTAATTTCTTGTGTTTTTTCTCGTCGAATAGCTACGTTCCGCGCAAGTGCAGCGCCACCAATCGCATCATCAAGGCCAAGGACCACGCCTCCGTCCAGATCTCCGTCGCCAAGGTTGACGAGAACGGCCGCGCCGTCCCCGGCGAGAACCACGTCTACGCCCTCTCCGGTTTCGTTCGCGCGATGGGCGAGTCCGACGACGCCTTCAACCGTCTGGCCCAGCGTGATGGCCTCGTCAAGGCTGTCTGGTCCGGCCAGCGCTAAATGCTGAAGGGTACGACCTCGGGGGGAAGGATGGTACGTCGGGAGTTTTATTGTACGGCTCGCAAAAGGGCTGTTTACAAGAACCGAACGGATGGACTGACTTGTCAAAAGGGTCTAGTCGTTCGGTCTGGTCGGTCGACATCATGGATCTAGAGTTGGTTGCATGGTATATCGCCAATTCGAGGCGTCCGGCTCTCTGCGGAGAGGAAAATGGCATAGGAATGGTTCACGACTACCCAACAAAATGAGATTTTCCGCGTTCGAGATCAAGACAAACCACAAAAACGTCCCCAGTGACCACCCGCCCCCTTCGCCCCCGATGCGATGTCTTTTCTCCCTCTTCCACGCCCCGGCTAGCGAAGGATTCTCGTACCACCCTCGATGGTCTCCATGGTCGAGGATTCTGGGGCTACTCTGATAGCCTCCGTGCCGCAGATTGATGCAGGCCTTGAAAAAGCCGTGGCCGTTAAGGTGTTCGTCATGGTACAGATACGGGTCTCACATGTCTAGGCGCAGCTGCCAGACTGTCAATACGATTATGATTCCATCCCCAAGTTTTCCGCTGCTACTCGACCTGACTCTGAAATTGTGCTTCGTGACCTTTTGAGAGAACACTAACACGGATTTGTGCCTGACAGTTGCTGGTTAACAGGCAACCGTTCTAAAAGAATATGACTTCTCTTCCTCATCCAGGTGTACACTTGGGACAGGAACGAGACGAGCCATCAAGGAAGAGGAAGGTAGAGAAGCTCCGGCCTACATTCTAGGTTGTCGGTGGTCTATATCCGCTGCCGATCCAGAGTCGCTGCCCGGCTGCCCGGCCGCATTTCCGGCTTTCTGTGGGCAATCCTCGGCAACGCTCTATCACGCTTCACAGTTCAAGGACAATTCTCGGTTCGAACATGGTCTCATAATTGTCGCTCTTCTAAACAAATCCTTGTCTATAGTCATCTCTATAACATATCCAGCGCAAACACATCTTACAGTACATAACGGAAGTTGGGGTTCTATCCACATGTTAGTCTTTAAAGTCTCTTCATAATCACAACAGCTCGGATAACTCACCTCCTTGTCAGTCAAATCGACCCCCTCATCCTCGTGCTCAGCATCCGGTGAGATACCAGCAGCTGCCGCCGCCGCATCTCTCTGCTTGTTGCGGCGAATAAGAAGCATCCGCAGGCCAACAGCAATAGCCACCTGCGAAGCCGAGCACGCGAGAATGAGCTTGCACCCAGTCTCGTACAACGGCGCCTCCTTGGCAAGGAAGGCGTGGGGTCCGATGATGTTACCCACGCAGTACGCCGTGAAGACAATAGCCGATGCCGTGATGCGCTTGGTGTATCCTCCGAGGTTCGTCGCCGGCATCTGCAGGGCCAGGACCAGGGATGCGACATAGCAGCCAATCATGTAGTACCCAAACAAGACGCCGACCTTGTAGTGTGTTCTATCCAGCTTCCAGATCATGCAGCAGCCGATGATGGTGGGGATAAGCCACACCGCCATGACAGTCGTGCGCTGATTGCGGAACCTCGACGCGGTGTAGGCACCCGTGAGAATCCAAAAGACCTGGAACGCGCCCTGCGGGATGCCCAACGCCGTGGTCAACAGCGGGTCAGAGACGAGTCCCTTGATGATGAGCTTGCCAAAGTTGGCCACGCCGCCGTTGATGACCTCGTTGAGCAGGACGAAGAGGGTCAGCAGCCAGACCTGCGGGTCGAGGCAGGCCTCCTTGACTTGGTACCACTTGATGGTCTTGTTGAGGACACCGGTCTTTGCGAGGCGGGCACGGCCGACTAGGAGGGCTCTCTCCTCGAGGGAGAATCTCTTGGCGCTCAGAATGCTGTCGGGCAGGAAGACGAGGAGCAGGCCGCCCCAGATGACGGTGATGCCGCCGCAGATTAGGAAGACGGCCTTCCATACGGGGAAGGAGTCAATTTGGCCAATGCCGTAGCTTAGGACGCCGCCGAGCATGCTGCCGACACCGTTGCAGCAGTAGAAGATTCCTGCTCGCATGGGCTGTTCCGATCGCACGTACCTTGGGACTGAGTTAGACACAGTATCGACGCAGGGGGTTGGTGCGCCTGGTACTCACCACATGGAAACCATCATCATGAAGCACGTCGTGATGGGCGCCTCAAAGACTCCAAGCAGGAAACGGCACGCAGCAAGCCCCGGAAAGTTGGAGCACGCAGCCGTGATCATCAAGACGGAGCCCCACGACAACACACATCCCGCCACAACCTTGCCCATGCGCGTCTTCTGCGCAATGTAGACCCACGGGTACTCGGCAACCAGGTAAGCCAGGTAGAAGATACTCGCGAACCACGAGTACTCTGTCTGCGTAACGCTCGTGCTAGAAAACAAATCGAAGACGGCGGCGTAGGACAGCGCCTGCTTGTCGATATATTGCAAGACGTAGGTGCCGGCCAGGAGCGGGAGAATCATCAGGTCGATTTTGCGGACCAGGCGGCGGTTCTTCTCCTTGTCGTTGACAAGCTCGGCAAGGTACTCTTCTGTGATGTTGTTCTCCTGGAGGAAGGCCTCGGACTCGTCGAGGTGCGCGACCTCGCCCGCCGTGAAGGACTTTGTCGGCTCGAGGCCATCCTCGGCGACCTTGATGTCTTTGGACACTTTCTCAGCCATTGTTGTCGATGTAGGCGGACACTACGAAAACAAGACTTGGAGATGAGGATAAGCGTGGTGATCCAAAGATGAAGCCTCTCTTCTATTTTTCCTAAGGAACTCCCGTCTCTCTGAAGAGAGGGATAACTCCTTTAATGTCTCATTGCCAATTGGTCATTATCTCGACAACCCTGACCACGCCACGCTACCCAGTCCGGGGTAAACTACCAGGTAGATAGGTATGATAACGCGGAGGCCCAGGAGTCCGTCAATGGGACGTCTTATCAGAACCCAGATCCATATGGAACCACATTTTACGGGCGACGTTATCCGCGAGACTGGGTGACTGGGAATTCAGCTGGGAACACTAGGAAACAATGGCAGTTGGCTATCGCGGGGAAGTCGTGCCGGGGGGGGTCCATGAGTCGGGGTCCGTCCGATAGCACAAGTCGGACGGGGGCTGATAAGCCGGGAACGGGGGACCTTTACGGAGTATTGCTGACTTTATTCAACCTGTCGAAAGGTGAAAGGGGAGTCCGGCGTCCAGATCTGGGCCCGAAAGCGCGTTGCCCGCCGAGATCGGCTGTTTCGTCCCCGCGGGAAAGCCCCGGTATCAACCGCCTCTTTGAGTCTCTCGCAATCATTTAACGCCTAATCAAGCCTTTGCCGCCACGGCGCCAAGCAACCATTCGATAACTACCTTACCTGCGGAGTAATACTAGTCAAGTCGCTATCCGGAGCTTGTCCGAGAAGAAGCGTGTCTAAGTCAACTGCAACTCAAACGGCAGGCCGGTACGAGCAACCGCCGATTATCGATAAGAGCTCCGTGGGGTGCACCCCGGTTGTGAGTTGTGAATTGCGACTTGAGACTCTTCAACTCAACTCAACTCCAATCATCCGTCTTTACACACAGCCAAGGCAGAGACCAAAACTTCACAGTCGCTCACGATGGGTTCATCAATTCAAGACGCCCGGCCTTCAGTGAAACTCACCCAGGGAACCGTCATCGGCACAGTCGTGTCAGACAGTCTCCCCCGGCCAGTCGAAGCCTTCAAGGGTATTCCGTATGCGCTCCCGCCAACAGGAGATCGCAGATTCCGCGCGCCGGTCAAAGTCGAACCCTCAACAAAGGAAATCGACGCCTCGAAATGGGGTCCCGTTGCGCCGGGCAAGCAGCTATTCCCCGGCGGACCGGCGTTTGAGTACAGCGAGGACTGTCTGACTGCCAATGTGTTCCGGCCCGTTTCGTCGTCTCGGGATGAGACGCTGCTGCCCGTGGCCGTGTACATCCACGGCGGCGCATTCAACAGAGGCACGGCCATGATGCACAACACTGCTTCGTTCCTAGCCAACTCGGGGCAGGCTTTCATTGCGGTTTCCTTCAACTATCGTATCGGAGCTCTCGGCTTCCTCCCGTCCACCAAGAGTTTCGAGGAAGGCTCCGTGAACCTCGGTTTGAAAGATCAAATCATTCTTCTCGAGTGGGTTCGCGACAACATCACGGCATTTGGCGGAGATCCCAACAACGTCACTCTCTTTGGCATCTCCGCTGGAGCACACTCTGTAAGTCATCACAGACAATTCCATTTCCTCCTATCTCAAAAGAAAAGACTCAAGTCTAACAAACAACCCCAGATCGGCCACATCCTCATCAACGACGAAGGCCAATACAACCCACCCCTCTTCCACAAAGTCATCCTCGAATCCGGCGCCCCAACATCCCGCGCAGTCCGCCCCTACAGCGCCCCCATCCACGAAGCCCAATTCGCAGACTTCCTCACAGAAACAGGCTGCCCGCCCAACCTCTCCGCCGCCGAAACCTTTGCCTACCTCCGCGCCGCGCCCACAGAAGTCGTCCAACGAGCCCAAATCGCAGTCTTTGACAAGTACAACCCCTCCCTCCGCTGGGCCTTCCAGCCCGTCGTCGACGGCGACATCATTCCCCGCCCGCCAATGGAATCCTGGCGCCTCAACAAGTGGCGCAAAGTCCCCATCATGACGGGCTTCAACCGCAACGAAGGCTCCATCTACATCTCCAAAAAGGTGTCCGCCTCGGACGAATTCACCTCCTTCTTCGCGGACCTGCTCCCCTTGCTCTCCAAAGAGGACGTCAAAACCATTGACAAACTCTACCCGGATCCCCTCACCATCCCCACCTCGCCCTACAAGGAATCCCTCGACGGCACGGGCGCCCAATACCGCCGCCTCGAAATCGCCTACGGGCAGTACGCCTACGTCGCGCCCGTCCGGCAAACAGCCGACCTCGCCTCCCGCGCGGACCCGGAGCTGCCGGTATACCTCTACCAATGGGGTCTCGAAAGCTCTCTCCTCGACCGCGCGCGCCACGGCGAGAACATGTACTACGAGGCCTGCGAGCCCGCGAAAACAAAAATCTCACCGACGCAAAAGGAGCTATGTCTGACGCTGAACGCGTACCTGGCCAGCTTCATTGTCGCAGGCGATCCGAATGTCGTGCGGGGCGAGAGCGCGCCCGAGAGGCCGGTGTGGGAGCGGTATGTGGCGGAGGAGCCCAAGGCGTTGGTGTTTGCGGAGGAGAATAAAGAGCTTATTGGGGGCGAGGCGGGAGTTCCGGCGAGGTCGCATGCCGATACGTGGGCGAGGAAGGAGTCGGAGTTTTGGTGGACCAAGGTTGATGTGTCGCAGCAATGAGTGTCGTGGCTGAGTAGAAATAAAAAGTAAAAGTTCATGACATGATGGCTCGGTTCTTGTTTTCCTGTTGCCTATGTGTGATCACTGCCCATGAGATAGGCTCCATGGTGAAATGTTGCGTCCATTGATCTCGTTTATTCTCTCGTTCATTCAGCTGAACGAATCTGGGCCTATTGAGGTGGTGAAGTCTTATGTCTACTTGAGTGGCGTTCTATATGCTACTCTCAAGTTGAGGCTGGATCAATACCAGACAATGGTGGACATTGGATGACGCTCAGATGCGGTGTAATGCCAACTACCTTTGTCAAGAGGTAGACATACAGGTACATGTCTTGCAAGGGACCACAGGGTAAGCTGTAACATTCGTGAAGAGATTGGAGACTAGCAGTCCGTAGTTTTCTTGATAGTACGGTCCTCATAGAAAGAGTCTTCTCCTGTCTTGCTGCCTCTAGTGGCTATTCAATGAGTGTGAATTTTACAGGAAAGCCTCGGTAACGAAGAGTACTTCATTATTCTCACATTGTCCTATTGGAAATCATTGTTGATTCTAATGTTGATTAGATGCATTCCTTTCCTCTTGTTGATTGGCTGCGGTGGCGCGCCAACTGTCTCGATGTTCTTCAGAATCGCCGCTTTTTCGTGGTTTAAAAACCATCATTAAAGTGCCAAATTAATTCACCGAACACCACCACAACACAATCATGCACAGTTCTTTGTGTAAATCTCTTCCGACCATTACCTAGTATCTACTTCAGAATCATTAAATGGTTATTCTGCCTACACTCCCTAGATGACCCCTACGACGCTGAACAGCCTTTCCAGAGCCTCACCACCAAACTTCTCCCCAACTTGAGCATCCTCACTCCCTCAACACAGCACATGCGACCACACCCACTGGAGAACTCGGGATCCCGTCCGCTCTCCCATCGATAAACCAGTGAGGGCCGGAGTAGTAGTCGGGTCGGAGACGACCGGCGAATGCCCGGTGTTGCATGTATTTTTGCCCTTCCACAGTATTCGGATGAGACTCCGGTCTTGATTGAACACGCCTTCTTGGAAACCAAGCGACAGCATCTACCAGCTCCCAACTCTGCTAAAGCTCCCAGCAACCTTCATCTCCCCCTTGGCCTCCCTACTCGCCTCACTAAACTCAACAAGCTTGAGCGGGCGGTACTCGGGCGACCACATCTGCTCCCGGATCCACTCGTCCAAATCCTCGTCCCCCTCCGGGATCCCCTCCTCCGTCGCCACGTCCTCCTTGACAGCTGCCTTGATTACAGCTCGCGCGACCCTGACGCTCACGTCCCTGACGATGTCAACACCAGGCAGTAGTGGTGCCGTCTGGTCCTTGAGTGCGGGACTCAGCGACGCGACACCCTCCACAGCCGCAACGAGCATCTTATCCGTCACCAGACTAGCGCGGCAGAGCACGGAGCCGAGGCCGATGCCGGGAAAGACGACCGAGTTGTTGCACTCTGCGACCTCGATCTCAATCTCCTTGCCGCCTTCGCCCCATGGGCCCTTGACCGGTTTGAAGGGGGATCCCGTCGCAACCAGAGCCTTGCCGTCGGTCCATTTGTAAATGTCCTCAGGCACGGCCTCGTGAAGACGGGTTGGGTTGGAGAGCGGGAGGATGATGGGCCGCTCGACGCCGTCGGCCATGGCCCGGACAATTTCTTCCGTAAAGGCCTTGGGCTTCGTCGAGGTCCCGATGAGGACGTTGGGCTTCACGCTCTTGATGACCGAGAGGAGAGACGTGTCCGTATCTTTCCAGTCTGAAGGGTCCTTAGCGAAGCCCTTTTGAGCGGCGGATACCTCGCTGTCGGTGGTCAAGAGGCCGGGCTTGTCGATCAACCTGTGTTTCTATCAGCGGGGGTGATGCAGTCTACAGGATTTGGAGGCATTCAAGTACCAGATCTGCTTGGAAGCATCCTCCTTGCTCATGTTTCCTTCGGCGGCAATGGCGTCTCTCACTTGGTCCGCGATTCCGACGCCAGCTGAACCGGCACCAAAGATGACCAGGCGCAGGTCAGTGAGTTTCTGCTTGCTCACGTGTAAAGCAGCCGTGATGGCCGCTAAAGTGACGCATCCCGTTCCCTGCACATCATCGTTGAAACAGGGAATGTGGGGACGATACTGATCCAAAATCCTTCTGGCTGCGGATTTCACAGCTTGTTAATAGAGGTCTTGGAACAAGGCTCACACAATCAACTTACCATTGGTGAGACCAAAGTCCTCGAAATGGATGTAAGCGCGGGGATACAGCCTCCTGGCAGCCTTGACGAACTCGTCAACGAAGCGGTCATACTTGTGTCCCCGCACACGCTTCTGTCGAAGTCCCAGGTACAAATCATCATTCAAGAGCTCCTCATTATCGGTACCGCAGTCGAGCACCACAGGCAAAGTCCGATTGGGATGAACGCCAGCGCACAGAGTTGTGAGAACGAGCTTCGCCACGGAGATCAAGACACCACCGACACCTTGGTCCCCGATACCCAGGATCTTTTCTCCATCTGGTGCATGTAGTTAGCACATCAAAGATTTTAGAAGACAAGGGGCAGAGGCGAAATAGGGAGACATGCCGGTAACGACAATGTAGTCAATATCTTCTGGTCGCCCCCACTGAGCGAGATCATGATAGACACGATCTATATCATTAATGTTCAAAAAGCAGCCATCGGGCCTTCTGAAAAGCCTCGAGAAGTTCTGAATGGCGTCTCCTTCGGTGGGCGTGTACACGATACTGAACATTTCCGGAAGATGCTCTTGCAACAACTACTCTCCAGTCTCAGAATCACGGATACTCCAACATCTAATGACATGCAAACACATACCCGGTAGTACAGCACCTCATTCTGCTCCTTCAACGACGTCAGAAAGGTATTCTTGGCAAGATCATCCTGGCGGCTCTTGTACTGCTCATAGGCGCGATGCAGCTGCTGATCGAGGGAGTGGATGCTCTGGGGAAGCAGGCCGGTGAGGTTGAACTCGCGGCGCTCGTCCTCGGGGAAGGCCGTCCCCTTGTTGAGGTACGGGGTGTTCAGCAGCGCGCTGCCTGTGACGGCGCAGCTGATGGGACCGCTGGTGCTCAGAGGTAGATGGGAGAACTTGGACTCCTTGCGGTCCTTGGTGGGAGCCATACTGTGTGATAGACGGGGTAAATGGGAGCGGCGGGTGACGATGGTGTTACGTAAAGGGTTCACGATGATTCTGGGTGGCATCGAATGTTGACGAGACTCGAGCAATTCAAGTTGAGTTCAACAGGAAATGGAGTGTCTACATAAGGTAGGTAGCCAGGTATATGAGTGTGTGGGCGTGGGAGTCGAGATGGTCTGATTGAAGCACATGCAAGCAGCAGAGAGGTTGTGATAAGACGTCGACGTCGATTTTGGATATGTCGAGTTTCCTTGGCACAGAAACGCTAAAGAACAGCTACGTACATTTGGGGGAGAAGAGGGGGGTAACGTGAGGTATCAAAGTACCTTACTGCGCCGACGAGGAGAGGAAAGAGCGGCTTGCTGGCGTTGCCGTCCTGCCGTTTGTGAGCGCTGACTGCCAAGTGACGTCAGGCCTTTCTTTGTGGTGAATGGCGACAGCAACTTGCGCTGCAATGGCATGTGGGCGGCCTAAAGCGGTGGAGGAAAACTCCGGAGACTGGCAACCTTAGGCTGGGACTCGGCCGAGATGCAAAATCATTTTGCTCCTCTGAATCGATATTCAATAACATGAACGAAGGTCTCACTTCTCAAGGCCACCTTAGAATAACTTTGTCGACTGATGGACTGATTGTTCGTGGCCGTAGTGCAGATGCTTCGCAAGCCTGGGTAATGAAGCAACTCGGAGTGAACCGAGACATTTGGACAGCATTAACTTGGCTGGCAAGTACCACTCACTTCAGGCCAGCAATGCTTTCACTTCAAATCATTTAAACATACAAGTCATAGCAAAAACATGTCGGTACGCCTGGAGCCTCGCCCATGTAGGAAAAAGAGATGGGCATGGACTATGATGGTCCTGTTTTTCTCGCAGCCGGCGAAACCAAGACCAAGACGTAAAACGCCCTTCCCTCGATTTCGCCGTTCAGTAATAGTATTCCAGTCCTCTCCAGAGTGCACCGCAAAACGCGGCACAAGATGGAGACCCTCGCCGAAGCAAAGACTCGTGAATGTCCCGAGTGACTGGGTAGACGCTGCTGTAGGTAACGATAGCTGAAAGCTACCCTCCTGTTCGTTTGGTTTCACACTACTTTCTGACGCGATGGTCATCGCTGCAGAGTACAGGAAGGCAATAAATAATGCCCATCCTCGTAGAAATTCGAGAATGCTCCTATTTGGCTCACTCGAGCCACCTGCGTTTTTGGCGATGCCAGTCAAGTCAAGGTGTGGTGTTCAACCAGTGAATTTGTGGAGGAAGAAATGCTGAAGGAGGGAAAATTTCTTTGCAGATTTTACGGTCTGTCTTCTGGATTATGTAACGCGCACGATCCCTGGCAACGGCGGGGGTGGACGTTTTGGGAGTGTGGGAGACTCGGGAGAGGTGCCGGGCACGGAACACAGCTGGCGCCGGCTGTTGTTTCCCGAGCCGTGTAAGTCGGCTGGAATAAAGGTGACTTCAGAACCAGGCTTCAGAGAGAAGAGCGTTGATTCGGTGACTGAAGAAAGTTGGGAGGCCACGACGTCAATATTACCCTGTTGTTATTTCTTTCTCAGAGGCAATACTAACAAACTCGGAAGTCAAGAAGTTGGTGACAATACGAATGTGCCAGGCGTCTAAGCTCGCAAACGAAAATATAGACCCATTAGTTTTGTCATTCGCGGGCTTGTCTGAGAAACATCAACCACGCGCTTCATTAGATTATATGCCGAGGTCTAATTGTTTGTTACCCGCGAATAAGGTTGACTGAAGATCAAGATATTTAGCAAACCGGCAGGCAAGCACGGGGCCACTGACGATGCCATTTGTATAATGATAATGAATTTTCGATGATATTGATAAAGAAAGCGGTATACCCGAACACCTAGATAAAATCATACAGTCACTGCTATCCGGTACGGGCTTAGATGAGACCAGCCCGAGCAGCCTCGCCACCGCCATCTTGGACGAGCTCGTCCATACGCCTCTTGCCCTTGCCGATACCTCCTTCGCCGACACCCATTCTCCTGGCAACATATCTCTGTGCCACAACACCCACAGACAGACTCAGCAACTCCTCGATCCACTCGGCGACCCACTCGCGGGGATCGACACCACCGCCCTCGACAATCTCACGGATCTCGTCCGGAATTGATTGACCCAGGAAATCTTCCTGGCCGTCCTCGCCACTGGCAGGAGTCAGCGGGTTGGAGGCGTCCAGCCAGCGGATCCACTTGGCCGGGATGGACTGGCTGATGGCCGAGTACTCGATCTCATGGACAGGGTCGAGGCAGAAGACGGCGAAGCAAACCATCTCGTCGGCGTCGTCCTGCTCGGCCACGGCCGAAGCCTCCTTCTCCTTCTCAACAGCGGACGTACGGGCAAAGAGACCCGCGTCGGCCGTAGTACCCACAGCCTGGATGGCAAGGAACAGGTCGGAGCTGCGAACCGGATTGTCTTCGCTCACCGGCTCAGTTGCACGTAGCCGAGCCTGCTCGACACCGCCGTTGGCTGCAAAGTACTCGCTGGCGTAACCTTCAGCTCCAGCACGGCAGAGTTTCGTGCCCTCAGTCAGACCCTTGATCAGACCCAGGTCACGCGGGGAGTCAGATTGTCTCCACCAAGGACCGTCTCTCCAGCCCGCGCCACCGTCGCTGGAGTATCTGCGGCTGTGGGTTTCCTGGCCTCTCTGAATGACCATCAACTCACCGCCCTCCACTTGGGACATGACGCGGGAGAAGGTGCCGTAGATCAAGGGATCGAGGGAAGGGTATCCGACCATATCGTGGGCAATGTGGATGAGGAGTCTCTCGTGGGAGCTGATGGGAGGAGCAATGGTATGAAGGATGTTTGTGAATGTCGGAAGGGCTTGCTGGCGAAGGTTGTCACCTGTTGAGGTAGTGTCAGCACCTGGTTGCTCTATGTCTACCAACGTGCCTTGGTTGTGTTGACAAGGCGGCGCAATCAGCTTAGGGACTTACCAAGAGCCCTGAGGCCACCAACATTTCCTCGAACTTGTTCGGCCCATTTTTTGGCTTCCTCGTTCTTCTGAATCTCCTTGACAGCAGCCTCGGCCTGCTTCATGGCAGCAGTGGCCGTGTTAAAGATGCCACCCCACCAACCACCTCCCGCAGCGGGCGCGGCTTCGGGAGCAGCAGCTGACGAAGAGGCGGCGACAAGCTGCTCAGCAGGTCTCTTCTCAGGTTCTTGCAGGTCGGAGCTCGTGGCACTGGGTGTGAAGCTCGCGCGGAGAGATCGTGCGCTGTCGGTAGACTTGCGGGGGGCAGTCGACTTGTCATCGGTGGTAGGGGTCGCAGAACGTTTGGGAATGCCCTTCGCTGCCGTCTCCTTAAGACGCGGCGTATGCGGACGGGAGGGTTGCTCGAGGTCCTTCTCGAGCTCGGCCAGGATGTCGTTATCAGCCATGGCCTTGGAGGCGGCGGTGGTAGGCTTGGGCTTCTTCTCGAGCGACTTCTTGGGGGGAGCAACATTGTCACTAATGCCATCAAAGAGGTCGTCAATATCGTCGCCGGCAGCGGCGGACTTAGTCTTCTTGGAAGCCATATTGGGCGATGGAGGTCTTGTGGTATTGGTGATGTTGCGGGGCAGACGTCACTAGCTAAAAGGTGCAGCACTTTGAGGGCGGTTAGGTAGCTCCAAAAGGGATGCCCGGCAAGCTTAGTCAGGCAACGCTAGGTATCAGGATACCGTGAAACAAGAGCTCGAAGGAGCAAGATAGCGTGGGGTACTAAGTCCGACGGGCCAGGCCGAAGCGATCAATGCGATACCTATCGGAGGGTGTAACAGAGAGACTCTAGCTCACTGTTCAAATGATGATGGGTGGTTGATGAAAAGACGTAGTTGAACCTATACTAACGTTGTCCAACTGTGAACCAAACGGGGGAATGTGATGCACCAGCGCAGGCACAGCACTACACATATTGGCGACAGCTGCTGGAGACATGCATCACCAGGGACGGAACATGCATCAAGCGGAGAGAAGGAATGCGCTAGTCCAGATCCGGAGTGGACGAGAAGCGTGTCATCTCATTGGCTCTGAGTGGACGCCCATCCCCAGTCGGAAATGAAAAAAGCGTGTCTTGTGGGTCCCCGTCTGAAGTCGCCATCTGGCCGGGCTGAGTTCCCATCTTCGGTCTATTCAGGCTTACAGCAGGCTGTTAGGGGCCTTGCTCCCTAGATTTAGCGCTTTATCCACTAAAGATCCCGCTGTAGAAAGCACATTATAGGGAGTTGAGCAGGGCTCATAGCCGCTGATTGATCTCCCACCACGGCACCCGTAGCTTGGATGGATTGGCTGCGATGGGACGGGAACTTGGGGTGAGAGTGAACCGGAGGTACGTATCTCACTCCCGAGTTCCCTTTCCCCCCTTGGGCCCTTGTACCCACGTACCGTTTTTTTTCGTTCCTTCCCTTCCTATTGCCTTGGGGTCCAGGCATGACTGGCTCGGAAGGAACTAACAGCCAATGCCAGTGCAGGAGCGTTCCAAAGGGGCCCCAGTCGTGCCTTCCCTTTCTCTCTCTCGGCCCCCGCCAGCCAGTAACGGAACGGGAGGAAGTGGCAGCCAGCCTGAGCCAGGCCAGCCAAGAGGCGGACGTGTGGACGTGGACAGGGCCCCGGCTGGCAAAATTGAGAAATGCAAGTCAAAGTGAAGACGGGAAAGAGCCATCTCAGCAACAAGACAGGAAGGGGCCACCAACAGCACAAATCACCACTTTTTCCACGCCAGATATCTTCACCTCACAACTTCTTTGCCCTCTTGAAAATATCGTCGCTATTTTCCTTGGCTTTTCAGCTTTCTCCAGAGCGTATTTTTGTTTGCTCTAGCTATCGCGCAGACCCGTCCTGTCTGCTCCCAAATTTGACCTCTTATTTGGTATTGACACCAGCAAGGCCCGTTTCCTCAGCTCAGGTCTCTCTCTCTCTCTCTCTCTCTCTCTTTCGGTCTCGCTCACTCACTCACTCACCACTCACCACCTTTGGCTATCACTCTCAGCTCTCAGTCAGTCGGGTGGTCCAAGTCAAACCACCACATCACCACTTACTTGCATCAAACCCGGGTTTTGCCAGCACCTTCACCTTCAACCTCCCTCCCCCCTTTCGACCGCCTCTTACTCACACCCGTTAATTTTACGAGGGGAGAGGGGATCAATTATTCCTCCTTCACATCACAATCAATATTCAGAGCAGTCGCCTCCCCTCTCATTGAATGACTTCTCGGCTTTCTCCGCCATCTTATTGCGGCTCCCCTTCTACCCCCGAATCATCTACACATCCGTCTCCGTAAGCCAGGTCACCTCTTCACCTGTTCTTACTTGAGCGCACCATCACACACCCGCTGCCCTTATAGATATGGACCAGCGCTCTCGTGGTGGCCGTCCGAATCGCCGGAAAACTCTTCCTACTTCCAGCATCCAGTCTGATACCAGCGCCGGCGGCGAGTCAAACTCGAGCATCATGACGCGCTCTCCTCCCGTTGCTGCCTCTCGCACTCCTCAGACGGCACCTCCAAATCGCCGCAACGCAAAGCCCATTCCCATGAATAACCCCTTCAGCGTCCGCTCATCTCCCAGCACAGGCGGTTCTGGCCCTGGCCCTGGCCCGGGCAAGGCTCTTAGAAAGAGATCTCGCACCAGCGGCTTTGACGGACCCGCCGATGAAGAAGACGAGACCTACCGCAAGGGCCCTCACACTTTGAGAAAGCGTGCCAAAATCGACTACTCCGCCGCAGACTTTGAGGATGAGCTGCCCGAGATTGCGATCCCGGCTCCTCGCACTGCTACCCGCAAGAAGCGGGCTGATAGTGAAGTCGTCGACGAAGAGTACTACACTCCCACGGCACAGAAACGCCGCGCCAGCTCAAGAGAATTTTCCGTCGCCAGCATTACCGCCGCTCGTCGTCGGACACCGGCCCGGAAGAACCTCGTCGAACAACAATCCTTCTACTCTCAGCAATCAGACGAGGATATTGTCAAAGACACTATTGAAGTGGTGGGCGATTCTTCTGACCTCATCAGCTCCGATGATGCATCTGACCATGATGACAATGACAAGGACATCTCCGGTCACGCCTCCCTTCCAGAAACCCATGACCACCAGCTCTCGTCACCCATCCAGCGCAAGACTCAGGTAATACTTCAGCTGGCCTCTCCCATTGACCATCATATCATCAAGCAGGATGAGAGTCAATCGAGCCAAGCACAACCCGTTCCCGACGACATTGTTACCGCCGCGAATGTGGTGTCAAGCCCTATCATTGCGCACCCTCAGCCCATCCGCGTCAACCAAGTCACCATTATCGGAAACACTGGCCCGCGCCCAGACACCGAGGCGACAACAGTCCATCATGGCGAATTCGTCGAAGACTATTCAATCCAGCCCAAGAGAGAAGCCAGTTCTCCCGTGCGGCCTACTGAGAGTGTACCGCAAAGAACGGCTCTACCGGAGATGGCTGAGCCGGCAGCCAACACCGACTCTGCTGTTGTCTCCGGTACCCAGGAAAATTCCACACCAGCCGTTACTCGGATTTTCAACGCCACCAACACCGACACCGACCATGTCAACGTCGCACAGCGGATTGAAGAACCACGAGAGGCTATCGCCGATGTGTCAACAGAGGACGCAAAGGTAAATGGTCATGTTGAAGCGACCGAAAGTAAGCTTCCGCCTCTAGAGGAGCCGTTAAATACACAATCTACCGCCCCTTCACAAGATGTCGACATCCCTGTATCATTCACGACTCAGTCCGAGGATTTGTCCCGGCCCCAAGACGAGATGGACGTTGACATCGCAGAAGAACCCAATGCAGAGATGCAGGATGATGTTGCTGTTCCTGAACCCAAAGCAGCATCCCCGCAGCCCCAGTCCGCCGCTCCTGAGGCGAAAAAGAAGCGCTATGCGTGGTCCCACCTTACACCCTACATTGCTGGCGAATATGTCACCCACTCCATCTACCCCGTCGCTGTCGAGGCGTCTGCGCCCACTTCAAACGCCGACGCCGCAGAAGCTTCCGGCGAGCGAGAGACCGCTGAAGAGACGCCCGAGGATGCCAATGCTCATGCTCATGCTCAAGGTGCTGAAGCAGACGCAGAGGATGGCACCAATGTCGATGCGGACGGTGAAGTTGACGACGCTGAGCGCGACGCCGAACACGATGAGGATTTCGCACCCGACAGTCAGGGTCAGCAACTTTCCCAAGGATCCGCTTACAACTCGGCTGCCCCGACTCCCGCACTTACGCCCCGTCAAGGGTCGCCAGTCGTGCCCTCGGCCGCCACTGGAACCAGCACACCAGCCTTGATGCCCAAGCAGCGCTTCAGGAAACAGTACAAATTCAAAAAGGTTAGAGATCCTGCCGAATTCCTAGCCTTCTTGAAGGACTCTGAGGACCTCCCCCAAGAGGAGCTCTGGGACCTTCTGGCTCAGGCCAACGAATGCCTCCTCGCCTATCAAGAAGAGTACAAGGAGTGCAGCAGGATCGTAGACGATCAAGAAAATGCCCAGCGTCGCGCAATTCAAGATGCCGCCTACGAAAAGAAGACTGCCGACTTGAACGCCTTTGCCAAGGTTGACTCATACATGGAAAAAGAGTTTGAGGTGCAGGGCTCCCGAGCCACGATTAAAGAGAAAGACGCCGGAATTCTCGAACAACGCTTGCAAGACAGGATCATGGCCGCTACGTATCACTTTGAGTACGATCCTCACCCCAACAAAGTCGGCAATCAAGATCCCGGCGCCCAGAAGGGTGGAGGAGGAGAGGGTGTTCGCCAACTTCGAAGCCAGCCGCAAGCAAGCGCCAAGGCTGCCGAGGGCGACGGAGTCATCGTCTCTGGCAAGAGAACTCGCAACCCCCCGAAGTTGTTTGACGGTGTGTTACAGGACGACCACCGTGCAGCAACTCCGGGAAGTAACAAGCCGGGCCCGAAGAAACGCGGTAGGGCCGCCGCCGCAGAGAAGGCGGCATCTGCTCAAGACCCCGATGAGGAGCCTGAGCCTGAGCCACAAACAATATCACCTGCCAAGCCCGGCCCCAAAAAGAGAGGCCCGAGGGGTAGGAAGTCCGCTGTGGTGGTCTCGGAGCCGACTTCACCTGTTCCCGAAGAAGAGGCTATCATCCCGCCGCCGGAGCCAGAGCAGGTACAGCCTCCCAAGCGCAAGCGTGGCAGACAACCAAAGTCAGCCGCCATTGTCGAGGAGGAGCCAGAAGAGCCCGAGAAGCGCACTCCCAAGAGAGGTCGCGCAGCGCAGCGAAAGAGCAACGGCCATGTTGCAATTGCTGCACCCGAAACAACCGACGAATCTCGCCCTACCTCGGCATCGTCCATGGCCACTATCTCGGACGCCGGATCTACCTATGGGCTGCGCCAGAAGAAGCGACAGCGAAACTGGCAGGATGAGGAGGAAGTCGATGAGGAAGAAGTGGAGGCCGAGCCCCAGCCCAAGAAGGCACGCATCATTCGCATTAACAGAAAGCAAAGCGCCCCAGAGCTCGCACCCAAGGAGACGTTGAGCGAACACATTCTGGCTGATATACACCGCTTCGCTGCGACTCTCGATGCACCCGAATCACCTCTGCCCCGGCTGGTAGTGTCCTTCAAGTTGATCAACAATGGCTCCAGATGGACCATCAAGCCCCCGGCCTCACCGCGCCAAACATCGACCGACGTCAGCGAGTATAACCTGTCGACCCCTCGACCAGCCCCGATGTCTGCACCTACCTCGGCCAAGTCATCAGCCCCGCCTAGCCAGGCCGAAGGGGAGGAGAAGGATTACTCCACCATGACCAAGTCGGAGAAGATGTCCGCCTCGATGAAAAGTACTTTCCACCTAATCCCATCACTGATATCACAGTCCACTAACAATATTTTCAGAACGATGGCTCAATGGCAGCATGCAGGGCGCTGTCAATAAGCGAAAAGCCACCCTGGCTGCGAAAAAGGCAGCAGCTGCCGCAGCCGAAGCTGATGCGGCCCGAGTCGCTCAGCAGAAAGCCATGCAACTCCAGCAATCTGGACAACCGGCGCCCTTCCCCATGGGACAGGGACAGTAACGAAAGTAAAAGCAACTGACTTTGCATAACAGTCCGTCGAGAACGGCAGGTAAAGCCATCACGCAGAGCAAGATGATGACCCGTATGGATCACATCAACATAACACAACCCACAAAAGGTCACGAGACCCATGAATATCATTATCAGCATTACGTGCTTCTCAGAGCAACTATTTTCCAGTCTTCTACGATCAGCATTGCATACCCATTCGTATGACGAAAGTCGCAGCCGGATGGCAGTGGACGACCTCGGGCAGACGAACACGAAAGACCCGCGTCGATACACACCTAATTCAGTTTTCTTGTTCGAGTACACATATCGGGAGAGGCACCTTGGGAAATGATCTCTCTTACATCAGCATCGGGAGGCGAGGGCATCCGATTATTTTATTTTCGATTCGAGTGTTGGAAACCAAAAAAAGAGGAGAGAGCGTATGGATCTTTGCATTGATGGATCGACGGAACGGCACACCAACCTCGGCTTCCAATGCGACCGAGGATTTTACAGTGCCGCTGTCTCCGTCACATTTTCATGTTATCGAAGTCTTTTTTTCGGCTCTTGTGTATTTGCGCCAACCTTTTCTTGATTCTATGCGACGAATACGAAATTTCGTCGACTTGGAGCCAGCTCCCTATAGTGAGCGGTTTTGCAGAAGCGGCACACCAATGGAGGCGGAGAGTCAAGTCGTGGACTATCTGGTACTCGGCCTCGGGGTAGGAGAGAGAGAGTTTCCGCATTTCTGAGCGGCTCGTGGATGAGGGATACTGGCTCTGATTTCCTACTTGAAGGATTCCGTTGAGACGCCCTAGGATATGGGTCGGTGATGGATGAGTGGGGGTTCGTCTTCTGGTACGAGGGCGGTGGCAGGATAGAGTCGATACTATCTGACGAAATTGACGTTAATGCCACATCTACAGGATGTTCTTGCTGTGACCCGATGACCTGCCTTTGCCATCCTTGAAGTTTCTTGTCTACGTGGCCGTCGATGCTGTCCAACCGTATCAAAGTACGGTTTGGCGACTCTTTCGCTTGATGAGATGAGTACCTCGTCACAAACTCAGCTTCCCCGAATCCCCGAGAGACCGGAAAGCCTCCATCGCCGAATTTATTGACGCTTTCAGAGTAATACCAGGGCCTTCCACACAAGTGCCCGTCGCTGTAGATACAGTTCGTGACCTCAACTCGCTCGTCATGTTCTTTAACTCCGACCTTCCAGGCCATCGGTAGCCATCATCTTGAGCACTCGAAGCTGACGGGGTAGCCTAGCCAATTCCAATACAAAAGCCATTCTGTTCCTCATCATAGGGAGACCACCTCCTCTTCACACAAATCCATCGTTGGACTTCGGGTCGGGGTATGGTAGTGTCAGCTTTGCGTGCGGGCTGCGGGACCACGACGTGATTGGCATTCGCATAATTGTGCTCGGGCAGGGGCGGCAACCTGCTTGCTAGCTCTTTTCACAGCAATTTCTACACCCCCCAGTAGGCCGTGCTGTTACCAAGCGCGCCTTGTGCGTGAGCACGTTCATATTTGAAATGACCTGTGGTTAACCCGCAGTGGCTCTCTTATCCATCTATCGACTCGTTTCATTGCATCTTTACTTCATTCCTCTATGAGCCCAGCACTATATCTGAGTTGCAAAAAGTGGCCGCTTGCCGCTTACTGAGATTTGGATATCTCCGAAATAATAATTTTGGTTCTCATCATCATTGAAGATTCGCATTGCAAACAAATAACGTCATTTCTTTCGTGAGGCATCATTGGGTAATGCTTGGTAGCCTTCGTCCTGGAAGTCGTTTGTCGACGGCCTCTAGCCAATCGAGTGATAGCTAAGCCTCGTTTTAGCATCTTCACAGCAATTCCAACTCACTCCACGGGTCTGAATGTCTTTTGGCAGCTTAAAAGCTACACTTTTATCTCGCACATTCATTCAGGCCAGCCAGACAACACAACGAAATAATCCGGATTCAACCTTACTTGGTATGCTGCGATCACGCTGATTACTTCTTTTTCCCTTTCTCCCACATACGCGCGGCCCATCTTGGTCGCGCAGGTTGCCTCGTCAAGGCAGCGACTCGGCTGAGTTGAGCGAAACAGTGGCAAGAGCATCAGATGCGTCGTTGCCTGAGCACTGCAATTTTGGCTCACACCTAGGCTTGATCGATCTTACGTGCCTCCTACTGAGCCTGGGAGAATACCACTCACAGTCAAGATGGATGCCAATGTTATTACAAGCCATGGCCTGCGAGGGGGTTTAAATTGCTGTGCGCCATCATTTTCAAGTTTCCCAACTGGGTTGTCTGTCCCGACGATCTAGACGGGACTCTCACTCCACACCTATACTGACTGGTTTGCTAAATGGGTCGGGCATTTCCCCGGTCGGGATTCGTCGGCACTCGTCTTCTGGGGCACATCACAGGCAATATCGATTCACATCCGGCGCGGGCGCCAGAACGGCGAGCCATTGGAAAGATTGGAGGAAAATGTGTGTGTAACGTGCGCAAAGAATCGGATTTTTGTATCTCTCCTGTATGCGAAATGCCTGGTATGAATTTCTTTCCCTTTACACGCCACAGCCGAAATGCAGAGCCTGCCAGTCCAGCGAGGAAACTAAAAAGAAAAAACCAGGCCCACAACCCTCTTTCAGATGGTGTTTTGTGTGTGATGAATCCATTCGACCTCGGCTCTCTCATTCATGACGACATGGTAGGGGAAGAGAGGTTGTCACAGAGAGAGGAGGAAGAGGGGTGATGAAGTATGTCCCAATGGTTCGCACCGGTTGACCTAATCCGTAGCCATAACGTCGTCCTTTCGCCCTTTTATTTCTTGACTTGTGTAAAAAAAACTCCTTTACATGACGACACCAGAGTTGCTGGCAATACGCTGGATATGGGTGTTAGTCTCAAATGTCTCGAGGATGTCGTTCATTTTGGGAGAACTTACGGGCCAGAGCTCAGCAGCCTCCTTACCGACGGGGCCGGTGATGGCAGAGCCCTTCATCTCACCCTTGGGGTTGACGATCTGTGGTAGTTGTGTTAGCAGAGTTTTTGATGATTGTCACCTCGAAACAGCAACGTCATCGTCTGAGGCTGGCCCTGCGAAAACCGCGTGGCCATATCCCTTCCGAAACGTCCTATCCCCCCATAGATGACGGATAGTACTTACGACACCAGCGTTGTCCTCGAAGTACAGGAAGACACCGTCGAAACGCTTCCAGGGCTTGGACTGGCGAACGATGACGGCGGGGTGGACCTTCTTGCGGAGTTCGGGCTTTCCCTTCTTGACGGTGGCCATAACCATGTCACCGACACCACCGGCAGGCAGTCTGTTGAGACGAGCACCGATACCCTTGACGGAGATGATGTAAAGGTTACGGGCACCAGAGTTGTCGGCGCAGTTCATGACGGCACCACTGAAGCAACAAAGTCAGCGACGAGTTTCCACACCAGAGAGGAGTTCTCTCATTCGGGGAGAGAGGAGAGTTCGTACACGGGAAGACCGAGGGTCATCTTGAGCTTGCCACCGGGGGCACCGCGACTATAGGAATCTGGTCAGCATTTCCGCGTCTGGGATTTTGCCAGAGTTTTCTCTGTTCATGTCTCCTCCATTGTCGGCGCAAAATTTCGTTTCTCGTGGTGGGCTAGCGGTAGGCGGGGGGTAATCGTTTCGCAGTGTGTTTATTTTCCATTCGTGTATGCCGTCACTCGGTGTTTCTGTCGCAGTCGAATCCCAATCCTATACTTCTGGCCTTTGCCTTGCCATCGTCAAAATTTCCTCCTCTTTCCCTGCGTTGATCCTCGTTGTTGTGCGTCGAAATTTCGACCGCCCGCCTGCTTCCTGTTGCGTGCATCCCACCAAAAACCTCCGTGGTCGCTGGAGGAGGGGTGAAAAGAAGCCGAAAATTTTGCGCCGTTGCTGGATTCGAAGAGTAGAATGACAATAACTTACGAGAGCTTGGCCATTGTGTCGGTTTGGGGGTGTCGAATTCAACTACGGGGCTGGCTGGAGGGTTAGATGGCGGACGTGGAATCGTGAACTAGGCTGGAAATTTCACGACTTCGAAAATGTTTTTGGTGAATCGCTGGTGTGGAGCACCGAACCCTACGTTTCCCCCTTACCCGAGCCAAAATTATCGGTCACGTGTAGATTAGATAAGCTATCCCAAAAATCTTTTGCTCTGTTTTTGATGACAGAGACCCCGCTGCACGTCTTGCCCCACTCCCTCCCATGGCCCCTCATCATTGCTTCGGGGGGAATTGAAATCGCAGTGAATTATTATTATATAATTGAAGGCAGACGCAAGTTGCCAGTGCGAGCAAGTGGGGGAAGAAGTAAAGAAGATGACAGCCTCTCTGGCTGACTTCAGATTTCTGGCGAGTCTGGTTCGCAGTGAACAGACCCAAGCAAGCGCCAACCGGCGAAGGGGAAACAACCAGTCCAGATCAACTGCTCTCGCCAACTCTCCCCGAGTCACCTCACTTCATTACCTTTAGGGGAGTAGGAGATCGTAGTGACGATCGCGCATCTTGATACCCCATGTCAGTCTTAGCTAGCCTTTGGAAAGCGAACTTCTGACTGTGGAGGAGTTTGATATGCGTGCTTCACTAACACACGGGCAGGCCTAACGCGGCCCATCACAATTGGCGGGATGTCAAAGGTGGATCCTCACCCTTCGCCCAACGCCTCTAGGTGGGATAAAATTGCTGTGCTCCAATCTGTCAAGAACAACTGGTCGCGGAGATAAAGGGTCGACTTCTTACTTAGCTGCTTCGTGAATGTCTGGGGCTTTTCTAGGCCTTGCTTTCCCACGATGCCCAGCGCCCCGTCATCGCCTTGGGAGGAGTGCAAATTGCAGTGAAATCGGTATGGTACTTGTTAGTATCAATCTCATTGGCAGAACTGTGTTCGTCGAATAACCTGCCTAACTTCAACACTAAGGGTGCCATTATGACGCGAAAGGTTCTTCCCGAAGTTACCCAGCTCAGAGACCTCCAGGGTGCGAACATCCCATGCCCCAACTCTTCCTGTTGATGGTGCTCATTTGATTCCGGTGTTCCGGGACAGATTGCTTGAACCCTTTCTGCTACCCCGTTCGTAACCATGAACCATGGCTATTGAGTGAACACGAGGGCGACGACGACGATTGGTGATGGGAGACTAGAAAACCCCCCGCCCGCAGGCTAAGGAGGAAAATTGCGAGCGAGATGGCTATGCTGAGCTACGAGGGGCCGCGATGCAGGAGGCTTCATACACCCGGAGTTGAAGTCTCTCATCTTGACGGAATATCGGACTTGGCCGACGTTAAACTGATCTCGAGTCGTTCTTGTTGTTGTGGCTTCACAAAATTCATGACTAGAAGTGATCAAATATGCAATTTGGAAAAGGATCCTTGGTGAAAAGGAGTCCTTGAAATGAACTAGACAGATTAACCGTCACCAAGGAAGGTTGACCGTTTGAATACACTCGTCGCTCCTCATCTGACTTGCTACGTCAAAACGCTATGATTCTCATCGTGAGTGATGCTCTTCAGAGTCCCTCTCAAAACCCTCAAACTTCAAAGTCGCTGCCTAACACATCATCATCAAGGCCACCACCCTCAACTTAATCCATACACCCACCCACACATCACCAACCTCACTCACCCTCGAACCCACCTCATCCCCTCCTCTACCGTAAACGCCCCCAACGCCCCCAAAATACCCCAAGCAAAAAGCTCATACCCCAAAGCCCAAAGCCTCCTGAATACCATCCACCTCAATATCCGCAAACAATCCCACCGACTCAGCTCCACCTTCCACCCGGGCGGATACCATTCCGGCACAGGCGGGTCCGCCAGGCACCACATCTCGCGCCCGCCCGCCTCGAAGACGAGGTACCCGATACTCCGAAGCGTGAGGACTGTGCAGTAGGTTATGTAGAGGAGGTAGATCCCCAGCACGACCTCGCGGGGCGTGAGGAGAGAGGGGTTGTGGAGGATGTGAATTATTCGGGCTGCGGATTCGCGGGTGGTGTAGGTGCGGTGGGAGAGTTGGCCGTCGATTATGGAGGGCATGGTAGGTGGATTGAGGGTGTGAAGTGATTGGGTATACGGTTGGAGATGATGTTGCTGTGTGACTGAGCTTTCGGGCGGGTGTTCTCTTAACATTGCTTTGGACTTTTGCTAAAGGTTGAAAGCTTCGTCAAGGGCGAGCATCATGGAAGCTGTAGGATCGCTGAGTCTCAATTGATGCTAGCTGTTGGTGTTGATTGATGAAGAGTGTTGGTCGACGAGAAGGCGAAATTACGGCCCCCACCAAGTACGGACCAGGATCGTATGACGGTTGCCTATGGGCTTACCGTTGCTCAAGTCGGCATTCTTCCGCGCATACGACTTTAATTGTACACGCAACGACTCGAATGCCTGGCAGGCTTCCTTCAACATTAAGAGTACATATGGCGTAACAATCGGCATGGATGGCCAGACTTTGATTTGAATAGAATATGCTTGAATTGATACCGGGTATCTTTGAGAAACGAGTCGACTGCCTCGTGATCTACCGAGCCAGTGCTTTATGCTAAGAAGAGAGAAAATGCCAAAACCATAACTGTCGTGAATGCAAGTCCCGAAAGACCAAGTGAATGCCGGGTGCTCCCGGCCCCTTCCTAGCTATTACCGCCTCCCGAGTCGCTATTATTCGAGCCATTAGAGCCATTCGAGCCACCACTAGTCGTGGGCTGAACAATCTCTGCGCTCGCGTTGGGTCGCACGCTCTGCGGATTCGAGAATAAGTCCTTGGGATCCCAGGTCGCCTTGATGCGCTCCAGTGTCGGGAGATTGGTTCCCCAGTACCGCTCTTGTGCGTTGTCGAGTGTCGGGTCGACGTACCCAGCATATGTGCTCAACTCGTTTGGACTCGCTTTCCGAATCTTGTCGGCGACTCCAGACATGAAATCCTTGGTCTTGCTGCTCAGCGTGGGGATACCGACACCGTAGCCTTGGAAGAACATGACCTTATCGCGGTGGCGGTAGGCGGTAGCGTTCATGGCTACGTCGTTGATGGCGCCGCCGGTGACGTCGAAGATGAGGAACCAAATCAGGGTGCCACGGTCGGCACCGTCCACGTAGTCCATCATTCCTTGGATACCATCTTCGCTGAGGAGGTCGTTGCGGGTGAATGCGAGACTCTTGGAGGTGAAGGGTGATTGGATATCACTCAACCAGAGCGCCGCATCTTGTGCCTTTTGAGCAACGTCGCCGAGCCAGTCATTGACTACCACGGAGATTTTGCCCTCGGGGATGCGGTCCGGGATGCCCGTCTTCTTGAACTCATCCTCTGTACCGTAAAACGTGGCCGTGATGGCGACGCCGAGCTCCTGCATCACAAATTCGCTACTGAACCGACGGTCCAGCTCCGGATCGGAGATGAGGTCTTGCCATTGTTTGAAGACAGGTGCAAGATCGCGGTGCTTGGCAAAAGTGATGGCGTACGAGTACTGCACGACATCGCCGGGTTCCGGGTGGGTCCGCATAACAAACTCGGTGATGACGCCGAAGCCGGCGCCGGCGCCCTTGAGAGCAAAGAACAGGTCCGAGTTCTGGGATTCGCTTGCGCGCTGGATCTTGCCGTCTGCGGTGACCACCTCAACTTCAACAACGTGATCTAGACAACTTCCCCACATCCTTGAGCTGGGGCCGAGACCGCCCTAGACGTGAATTGCATTAGCAGGACGCACGAAGACGTGATGGACCGTCAATCGGGGACTAACAATTGTAGCATGGCCTCCGATGCCTACACCGGGACATGTGCCGTGAGCCATGGCTCTCTTCCCATTGTCGTGCAATTTTTCCGTCACGTCGTGCAGCTTGTGGCCTCCGCCGATAGTTGCCTGCCAAGTGTTCGTGTCCATGGAGAAGTTCTGAAAGTTGGCCAGGTCAATGACTAGAGCGCCGTCGGTACCACCAATGCCAAAGTTGCTGCAAGTAGACAACGGTGTTAGTCGTTGACTAGACCATGGAGACATCTCGAGGGACTTACGCGTATGAGTGACCGCCTGATTTGGCTTGCACCTTGACATTGTTGTCCGCAGCGCACTTGACGAATCCGGCGACATCTTCCGCTGTTGACGGTTTGGTGACGGCAATAGGCTCCACCGGGATATCGAGGTTGTACGGCTTCACCCAGTTGAGCTGGAAGAGAGGGTCGTTGGGGTATCCAATGCAAGAGGAACGGCCATCACAGACGTTGTCGAGACAAGTCGCCAACGGGCTGCTAGGCTTCTGTCCCATGATTATTGCCACAAAGGGTGTTTATCAAGGGCAATGGAGCATAATACAACATACGCTGGACGGAAAAGAGGGCGGCCGAGAGATGTCAAAAGGCGGCGGGTAGACTCAGTTTATACATGGCATGGGATCCCCTCTGGCGTCGCAATCCTTCCCGGTACCCTGGAGGCCCCAGCAACGAATTATGGGCGAGCAGAGCAGGCGATGTCCAGCTTCCTGCGGTGGAATAGCCCGAAGCATGACCTAGATCCCCAGTGTTTGGGTAGCAGCGACGGGCCACGGATGGCGTTCCTGGCTGATCATCCCATTGCAAGGTACCTAGTGGACGTTGACGCCGCCTGCCAGTTTCGCCTTCCGCCGCCGTCATCCCCTTCTCTTGGAAAGCCAGGCCAGGCCTGTCCTACAAGCCAGACGCAAGCACCAAGACCAGCTTCCATGTAGGCATGGCTGAGTTGTGGCTGGAATGGCGGACCACAGAAACAGATGGCCAATGGCGTGTTGCCAGCGGCGTGGAAGATTGCCACCAGTATCCTTTGTTGCCATGAATGCCACGGTGCGGTGCGAGAAATTGATGAAGGGCTCCCTCCCCTCACTTGGGGACGTCATCCGCCATGTCCCTGTCCCTGCTTTTCGTGCCTGGCAAGCATGGCACTGGTGATGTGCTTTGACGGGCCAGTCAGCGCCTGGAAAGAGGCTCGCAGGAATCGTGAATCAAGCTTGTTCAGCGGGGATGGCGTAGCACCGAAAGACGCCAAACCAAGTTAATAGGCTCGCGTGGGATCTTGGCGGGAGACGGGGGGTTTCTCATGCAATGATGCTGAAGCGTGAATGTTTGGTGGAATGGGGGAAAACGAGTGGCGCATTCAGGCGCCACGCGAGGTGGAAATATGGGGGCCGCCATGGCGGTGCACAGCTGCGCCAATCACAGACTTCGGATGATGATGAGTGACGGCTTTCTCAGGTCTTTTTCAGGGAGTCTGGATCGGCCCAGCTCCGCGTTGATGGTAGCATTGCAACGGTCTGTCTCACTCTTCAACGTTGGTTGTCGATCTTGAAGCGGTCAGTGGCCGATGGGAGTCATATCGAAGCCGGAGTTCTGGACTTTTGATGTTGCAAAGGCGCTTGACATGAGTTGACGTGCATGGGAAATTGTAGTCGTAAAAATGAGAAATGTGAAAGAATGTTTCCAAACATCCCAAGTTCAACCGGTTACGTACCTGGAATGAGTCCATCCATCATCGTGACTTACCTAAGGTTCTCCGCACGTACCACTCACCACTCCAGTGAGCTGAGTAAGTGAGGCATTGAAGACTACCGGTATGAATGAGTGAGTGCATTAAGTGAGTGAACGATAAATAGCTAGGAAACTATATGACTGAGAGAGTGTAAGTCGTACCGAAGCTGACTGAGACAATTGCGTGCCATTTTTGACGTGACCTTATGGTACTGCCAATGTCAGGATGCCCTTGTCGCGTGAATTCGTCCAAACCAAATCTAACTTCAGCCTCAAGTCATCCAGATCTCTGACCATCCTGAGTGAGTTGGGACCTACGTTGCTTCTGAGACACGTCAGATTCAGTCGGTTGCAGCCTATCTCAACATGGCGTGAAAGAAGAGCTTTGAATTGCAGGTGAAGATTGAGGTTTTGTGAGACTAGGGTACGTAAGATACGTACGTTCACATCCCCATTTGACTTGCATTTATGGAAAGGTATTTGGGCATGTACTCAAGACTTTGCCTGTCAATGCCGTGGTACTTGCCCAATGCTGTGGCACGCTGTCCTCGACAGCCTCACTTGGCTGAAGTAGATGAGACGTACGAATGTTGGCACCCGTTTCTTCATGCTGTCTTCGTGCTCACTCTCACGCACGTTCTCATCGTGGTACTGTAAATTGGATGACCCTGTCCTCCCCCTGCACAGTGCAGAGAGTGTGTGAACTGGCCCCATATTTCTCTGTTAATGTGGCTTGACCACCGAAAGCCACAGTTTCCAGCTACTCCTTCTCACAGTACATCGCTGCCTGATTGATGCACCGCAGCTCGCCAAGCCTTTGGTGATACCTTCCTCCCACCCGACGAATTCCAATATCCTCAACATCCCCGCCATCTCTTCCGTTCCGCGGGGCTACCACTACTTGTCATACGTATCACTGCAAGACCACCACATCAATTCTGCATCAAACGCCCCTAAGATTGATCGACCAACTACCTTTCTACGCCCACGCGGGGCAACTCATAGATGCCGCGACTAGCACAACCGCCGTATCCTTCGCCCACTTTCATCTAGCTCCTTCATTGAGGGCTGCATCAAAGACTCTGTCAAAAATAGGGCCGAAGTATTCTCCAATCACGTCGCACCGGCAGTCTCCTTGCTTGAACCCCAACTACCTGCTGCAAGGCTTCGTCTGAATCGGCTCTTGACGTGCCGTCTATGCAACGGCCCTCCAGCTGCGAGATAACGCCCCTTCGAGTTCTCGGACGGCCACCTGCGTATTCTTCTTCTTGATAGACCACGGAAGTTTGTCCTTGGTTGTCGAGTATACAGGACTTGCCCAGCCATGGCAACACCGCCCGTTTGGCGACGGCTGCCCATGCCCACTTCAGCCGATCTGCCTAACCTATTGGTATCGACAACATTCACGGCCACATCATACACAATCTTTGTTACAGACCTGGCTAACATTTGGTCTGAATCTTTGGATCGACGCGCAATCTACAAGCGCAGCCTCAATGAGTCCACCAGTATTGACCCGACGGACAGCGACAGCAACATGCGAGCTTTCCTGTCCAAGATTCGATCCGTCTTTGATCCCAGCCACCGAGATCATGACAAAGCATCCATGTCAATATCAACACGCTCCAACAAGGAAGCTGGGGAGCAGGGTTTGACCATGAGTATTACTTGCGAGCTGGACAACATGCAACCTTTGGAATGGCCGGTGTATCTACAAAAGTGTCCCCAGTCTGAGCTCACGACAGAACTCATCGTACCCCTCGCACAAGCAAACTCGGTAGGCCACCGACAGGTGGAGTCTCTTGCAGAAACCATCAAGCAGAAGGATGCGGTTATCATGAAGCTTCTGGACAAGTTGGAAGCTACTGGGACTCGCCTCGAGAAAGTTTTCGCCGTCTTGTCAGCAAAACAGAAGCCCACGAGAAAGATGGCAGAGCAAAAAGTCAAGGGTCTGGCTCCTTTCTCCTTCGAGGATTGGAAGGCACAGTCGGACGACGGTCCTGAGGACGTTCTCGGTGTTATTGAGAGTATCTTCGGCGGTGATGGACTTGAGTATAGTCGTAAGGTCGACGTGGTCACTGCGACTCCTCTTGATGGATGGTGGGCCAAGCCAGAGTCGTTGTGCATCCCGATTGTGGGACCCAAAACGAGATCCCGTTCAAGCCAACCGGCAACGTCGCTTCCCGAATCCGAACGAGAGGGGCATGGTCACAGCGAGCCGGCAAACAAGGGGATCGCGGGAGAGGATCAAGACGATGACTTTCAAGTCCAGTCGACGCCTCCCCATCTCATGCCCAATCGAAAACGTTCCGTACCGCCACCCTCTACACACGACGATGATAGCACTGAGGACGAAGATGAATCTCACATTCCTGACAGCGTACCTGTACCTCCTGAAGAGCCCATCATTTCTAACCGCCTGGGTACAATAGGGATGAAAGACCACCCTAAAACAGCAACGAGATCTCCAGTCCCCGAGGATCCAGTGCCAGCTACTCCGGCCTCGGATACCGAAACGGCGTCTGAGGATGGAAGTGCGGCCTCGGTGGTTGAGATCTCGCCCCCGCTGAAGCCTGCCGCAGGTAAAATCAAAGGGGGCCTGGGGCGCATCGGTGGTGGTAGTACCAGTCACTCAAAGACCCCAGAGTCTCCGAAGAAGGGGGCTTTGGGTCGCATTGGCGGCGAGCGTCAACGTTCTAAATCACCAGAGCCACCCAAGAAGACTGGTATGGGCCGGATAGGCAGAGGCACGCGCTCATCAAAGACCCCAGAGCCGAAGGCCGAAGATGCGAAAACCAGGGGAAGGTCTAAAGAGGACGTGGAGCCGTCGGCGAGGCTCAGGGAGACGTCACAGGAGCGGGCAGATCGGAAACGGGATGAACTACAAAAGGAGATACAGAAGAAGGCCACAACGGGACCAGCACGGAAGAAGCGGAAATTCTAGATCGACCCTAGTCTCAACTTTACAACTGGATGTCGCTCGAAGCTACCCCTCATCGCGGTACATCTCTCTGGCCCTGCCGATACTGTGATGGGTGAGTATCGAAAGTGATACATTCTGCTCTTTTTGAATTGGATGATATCCTGACAGAGTCCTCCTAAGGAGAAGAAAATATCCGTGCAACAAGGCTACTCTCGAAATAGACATAGACATGCCGTCGGACGCGGGTGCGCAGGTGGGCGAAGCACTCCGGAATCTATCCGGTGCGGATTGCCTTACACATGAGACACCTTTTGGATCGGATTCTCGCCGAGGACCACTTCATCCTCTTCTCCAACCTGTCATAACATGGCGCAAAATATTCCAGATTTCCACAAGAACCATGCAAGGACGCCTAATAACGGACCGAAACGATCTACATGCCGTTAGCTTGCTTGTCTGGCATAGGATGTTCGGCTCCGGAGCCCCGATGTTGAGCAGCAGAATCTTGCATACGACTGTGGAGGCTGGCTTCCTCGAGAAGTCCGCAGCTGCGTCTTCCTCCAAGGTGGTACCGGGAGCTCAAGCGAGACAGGCCGAGCATGTATGGCGGCAGAAATGCGTCTGGCCGTGCCGCGGATTCCGCACATTGTTTCTAGAAGCCTGGAGGCTGACGAGGAACGATCTCTGTCGAGACTTCACTTCCCATTGCGACACCCAGCTGACGGCAAGCAACGTATTTCAATAACAGACGCAATGGAAGGATGAAACGTTGCAGCCTTTCCTACGCAAAAACTTTCGGAAGATGGATATTGCTCGTGGAGTTCGTTCCACTTCAGCATGGCCATGCCGTTCTATTTATGACAACTCCCGATGACAAGACGGCATCAAGTCACACATCAGCAGTTGACTCAAAAGGCTCTTCCTTTGTACAAGACACGTGAATTGATACCGAACTACATCCCAAAATATCTCCCCCCACGTGGCACCCAGAAACATCTACACCCGGCGTACCATCCTACAGTCTTGACACAAGTCAACCGAAGGTCCTCCGCCTTGTTCGACGTGGCACTGTGTGACACTGCTTTCTTCATTTGACAACCCGCGCCCATTCTCGGCAAATCTCTCTCGCGGCTTGACGGCGCGGCCCATTAACGGGAACTAAGATTCGTCAGAAAACGGGGTGCAGAGAAGCGCTCGCCTATCCCGTCTGTCGGCTGCAGTGTGAAGCCCGCGGCTATCCTATTGAGTATTGATTGTATATTTTACGAGAAGAAAAACCTTGTATGCGACAGGAAGTCAAACAAAACCATTCGCTTTGATGCATTGCCCGGAATCGAGACCGGGCAAGGCATGGTGCACGATCTGCGTTCCGACCATTTGCCCGAGGCAGCGGCCCGTGATGCGACCTTGCAGCATTGCGGGCCATGTTTCCTTTTCAAATGCCTGTGGATGTAACAGGTGGCGATAAGGCTTCGAGGTTTCTGCAATGAAACTTGGCAGTTTACCTCCGCCTTTCTGCAGAAGCGACAGCCGGCATGCGCAGATTACGACCTATGCCACTTCTGTTGATGACTTCCTGGGGACGCCTCGAGCTCCGACAGGACAGATGCCTCACCATCATGCCGATGCTGCACCGGAATAAAGCCCCGGTGGCTCGTCCCGTCGACCGGGCAGGACCTCGCTGGAGTCTGGACACCACGTTGAGTTCTTTCGGACGTAAGATCGCACGTAAGATGACGGGACGTCTTTCGTCGTGGGTGGGTGACTGCTTTAGCGAACCCACACGCCAGCTTCTGCCACACCCCAAGGATACAACCCGAAGGATTCATCGCGTCTTTCTTTACGTACGTTATAAGTGAACGACTTGTCGTCGACCTGTGTGCGATTTTTGCTTTTCTCCCACTCTAGCTTAACGGCCGAAGGCGGAGCCATCGGCTGGTGAACGTGGCCTTTGCCGACTAGAACCAAGCTCAAACGGCCGTTCTCAGCCTGCCAGCACCGGTCTGCAGCTTAGCGACGCCGGAAATCCAGAGGAATTCGCTGGATGATTGGTGCACATCGATACACACGCATGATTCCCGTCGCAAGGTCTTCGCTCGAGGAAAGAAAGCGCCTCGATGGCCTCAACAACTGGAGTGTGGCTCGGAATGACGGGCGCAAGACGCGACGAATCGCCATCGAAAGACTCAATGAAGCGTCTTCGAATCGAGTTTTCGAGGCGTAAAGGCCTTGCGAAGACTATGAAGATAATCATTAACAGTGAAGACTCGAAGGGGTCATTCAGCATCGCCAGAAACTCCATACCGTGAGTACGCTCAACTATTGCCGGGAATCGAAGGCTTGACCAGACGATGTTTCTTTCCCATCGAGTATCAGATCTCAGATGAGCAGACTGTAACATTACACTGCAGCCAGTATTCTTCGTCCGGACGGACATCAAAGGACTTCTGCAGGGTGTTTGAGCATCTGCCCTGCATGCTGTCGGTTGATGAGCATCATCAACGCCGCAAGCGCATTAGACGGGAAGATGAAGCATTCAAACACGAATCTCAGAAAAGAGTAGCATAGAAACTCGACCGGAGCCATAGATATGGGCCGAGGGGACTGTGGCTTCCCTTCGGTGATGTCGATCCCGCGGCGCTGTGCGACGCAATGAAGCATAGGATGCGCTGTATACATGTTCCTTTGGGGTTGCACTCGAGCCTGTCAACCGGGTAGCAGCATACAGGCTACGACTGCCAGGATTCCCGAGGCGAAAATCATCGATGTACTAGATCCATCTGCTGTATCCAGAAGCCGGTGATCTCGACGTTTCTAGGGTGCATTGGATTCCAAGTAACAAGGACTTGATGTCAAACTCACACCACACACCCTGCATTCTATGGTCATATGAGAGAGGACCGAATGGCGGTGGGCGACATTGCACACATGTCTCTGGGTGCTGGCTCCCTCCAACTTCATCATCACCGATCAGTGCCGCGTCCTGTGTGACAGACCATTCATGGCCTTACGTCCGTACTTGGCAAGGACAGTGACAAAATGGCCGGGAACTCGTCAGAACCGCCATCTCGATAATCAGAGATCCAGGATCTATCACAAAATTTGGGCATCGAATTCTCCAATTTGTGACGAGCGGCGTCTGGTAGTGTGAATCCCTTGCGAGCCACGGTGGTGTCCAATAACCCAGCTCAAGACCTGGACTTGTGGAAGCACCCCCCCCCCCTCATGTTTGAACATAGAGAGATCTGGCGAATTGGTATCTGTGCCGCCGTATCTGTACCGCAGGCTCCATTTGGATTGTTGGACCAACGAAGACAATTTGAGTCCTGAACAGACACGCGTGGCTCCTCCGGCGGGATCCACCCCCCACCGAACCCGAGAGCCAGGGTATACTTGCCTGTCTCGCAACCGTCTTTGCAATGGCAGTGGATAAACCGTTGGAGGTGCTAAACTGTCGACGAGGAAGGATTAGCGAGAAAAAAACGGCATGCTAGCTCGCCCGGCAAGACGGCTGTCAAATCTGTCAACCGCGTAGCCAGTCGACACTCGACACTATCTTTTATTTGAATGTATTGGCACATGTTGAGGGATGAGCGACTATGAGCGAATCCTATCAGCATCCAGAAGCACCCCCTTGGATGGGATTTCGTCGTAATTGTGATCTTCTGGCGTTTCCCGACCACCTAACGAGTGTCGTTTCGCATATTCTTGTTCTCCCCCGATCATTTATTCGAAGATTCGAAGTCGTTGGCGCGGGGATCTCGCAACTTTGAAGATGCCAGGTTAGGTAGGATTGGTTGGAAGCAACCAACCCCCAGGTGCCAACCTTGCAAGCGTGATCTGTCCATTCCTGGCCCTGGACTAGGCTAGTTGTCTCTTCAGCCTTTCTGAAAAGATGTCAGCACGAGGGTCAAGGACTGGAGGCTTAGCGACCTGGTATGGATATCCGTACCAAGATCTCATTTCTAAGACTCGACCCATGGGGACTTGAGAGGGCAAGGGTTGCAAGTTGTCGTTGGACACCGGCTGCCACTTGGGTGTTTTCAGTGACAATCTTCACCCTGGTGACTCCAAGCCCAAGTCTTGAAAGACCAGGGGTCTCATTCGAGGGAACGGCGCTCGCGGTGGGCGGGCCTCTTGGATGAAGCCGAGGAGTTGTCTGAGGCGGCGAGGTGTTTCCGTAAAGAGAGATGCAAGGGGTCGGAGAGGGGGATAAGAAGGATTCCACTTGTACCTGGCACTTCCAGGTTGAAAAGTGGACGATTTGTGGACCATGTCTATCGGACGTTTGCCCGTCTCCCCGCCGCAAAGAATGGGGAAAGAGGAACGCCCAAGAGAGGAAAGGCAAGTCTGTTTCAACGACGTGCGTCTTCTTGGTGAGTTAGGCGCGTCAGACAAGCCATCATCGGTGTTGGCGGACTCTCACCAACTCCGATCTGGGGTCGGTAACAAACCTCTTCAACACCTTAGACGCTTATTTAACCCTTAGGGTTTGTTGCATGCCGCCACAAACAATTACCGGCGGTCAATCAAGGCTTTATCGGTCTATCGATCCTTTTGCCTGCATCTCATGTGGCACAAGATGTGCCCCAGACATTGGACCTACATCAAAGCAGCTGGGTCGCCCAGCGGCATCTAATTTAAGCGTGGCTTCCTTGGAGTCTTGGATGACCGGCTTTCCTCCCCCCTTACTCATAGTCTCCCAACAGCTCGACAGTGCCAGTCCTGCGCCTCAACTCTTATGTTGGCCGTGAACAACGGCACATCGTATTACTGTGCAAGGTATCTCGTCACAGTCGCAATGCGGGACAAGTACCCATGATACCCTCAACGGTTGACCATCTAACCGTGCGACTGCGGGTTTTCATTGTCAAACCAGCCACTCGAGAGCCGACAGTCCCGCAAAGATGCCCGCCTGCCGGATGGCTTCCGGGGAACCAGTCAATAGCTCGCGCCCAGCTTCGTGGCTTGCCGCTTCTCTTGGCCCCGTACGTGTAGAAGAAAGATGGGGGCCATCTGGTCATAGCCAGGGATGCCTTCGCGACATAACTCGACACTGCGACGCACCTAACTATCTGTAGTTATGCTGTTTTGCGTGCTGCACCGCTATCCTCGGGCTCTGTCAGTCGTTGTTACCAGTGTCTTGATTGATAAGTCTGGCGCAAACCCGGCTTAAAGCCATTCAAAGCATACCGACTCCCGACGAGGGCACCCCCACCTTGAGGACGTATGCAGAAGACGATGGCTTCTTTCAGTTCCAGTTGCGAGTCCGATCCCTGTAATGATGCTGCGAGATCAATACAAATCCGCATCCTAGCCTTTGGGAAAAAGAGGCACGAAGAGGGCGCTTGAGCAGGGTGTGAGCAAACCGTATCTACCAAGAGAAAGCAGTGGGACCACGCAACCTCGTCTCTACGCCATGGTCCATGGGCTAGCTAGCTATGTTAGTGTGGTTCCTGTTCATCCCGGGACCTTGGCATATCCACACCTGCCACCTCGAGTCCACCCAGAACGAGCATAAGTCCGGGATTAACGAGCAGAAGTCCGGGTTGGGAGAAGATCATGTACCAGGACCAAGGCGCTCATCAGTGCCTAGTCTCAACCCGAGGGTTCGGTAACCAATGACAGAGAGAAAAGGACGAGAGTCACAACCCTCTTATCACCCGTCAATGACAGGTCCTGCAGACAAGCATGACGTTCACCCAGGGCGCGGCAGGACAAGTGGTTCGCCAGTTATTCGCCATTGCTGCATGGCAAAAATTCGCGGCAGGGTTATACGCGGTCTCGCGGAAGTCGGGATCGCAGAGCGGCTAGTCCTGTTACAATCAAGCGCCTGTCATACCCATCTCCTCCCTCCCCTCGATATGCTGCAGATAAAGCAGAAAGGTGAACACGTCTTGCAGGATTTGCTTCTCCAACGGACCTGTGTGAAGGGGACGATGGTCTTCATCTCGACAAAGGGGATGTGGAGCCATCTTCTCGTCGGCCACCTCTCCACCCCCGCGATACGACGTGCGGAAAAGGCAGGCGGGTTGACAATACTACGAGGAAAAAGGAAGCGGCAGCCATTTGACAAATTGACTCGATACTGGGCCCTGAAGAATACCCTTGGAGGGGCTGACTACCCTACCCTCTACTACCCTTCACCGCCGACATAGACGATAGCCTTGTCGCCGCCGCCTCCGCCGCCGAGGCTTGCCGCCCAGTATTCCAGGCCGATCTAAGCCAGGGCGAACTGTCGATGTCGTCGTCTACAGGACCTATCATGTTCCATCGCTTACTCTAATCACTGCCTGGCCGCCTAGCCCTGAAGCGATGAGGGCTACGTCCTGCGAGGCTTTTGATCCTCACAGGGCGAGGGAAGTAGATTGGGAGATATACAACGCCACGGCCGCATGGCTGCGCATGGCTATGGAGCGCGGCCATGCGGCAGGCACATCAAGCTCCATCCTGACGATCACACTCGGTGGCTTGCTCTTCTCCACGTTCCCACGACGGTCCAAGGAAACCCGCTGTGTTCTTCGTAGCAAACCGTCCACGCCCCCGGTGCGCTCGTTCCATGGCACCTCGTCATCTCCAATCCTGTGACTAAGGAGTGAGGACGTCTTCCCACCTGCGTGAATATAGTCACCCAATCAAGGTCAGGGATCCGAGGGTGTAGGCTGACGAGTTACCTGGAGCGAGACATGAAGAGGAAACAGAAACTTTGTGACGATCCCGTCGTCTCATTGACTCAACGGCTAGGTCTGATGGGCCCGCAGCTGGGTACGCTTTCCTTGACTTACCAGGCTCAGCAAACCTCACCTTACCTGCGCCCCGTCTGGCGGTCCGAATACCCTCAGCGCCATTGAGGCTTCCGCGAAGCCGCGAAGAATCCGGGTCTAGACCGAACGCCATGACTGGCGGGAGGGTTCATCGTCCGACCTTCAAGATTGGAACTCCACCCGGCCGCCCACTCAAGATTACTTTGGTGTCGATTAGCAGGTTGGCCTTCCACCACATCTGGCACCACCATCGCCATTTTCACTCCACAATGGGCGACTGCGTCTGGTAGTCTGAAGTCGATTATGGGCATTCATAGACCTTGCTACATATTGTCCCCTTGAAAGATCTTCCTCTGGCCCTGTGCAGGCCACCATGCCCACGCCCTCACCCGCAGTCCCCCTCCTCCCCTGGTTTCCTTTACACGTACGCAGTACTGTACCTTCTGTACCAAAGGATACCTCTCACGCCCCCACAGATGGCCTACTCAGTTACAGAGACGGGAGATGACACGCGCTTCCGTAGAACTCTGTACGTTCTCAGTCTTCTGTACGCTCTCTGCGGACACATTCTCTTTGTTCCTGTCCTCGACGAACAACTATCTCCCCTTCACCCTACCCTGGTCCGACCTTCTTCTAACTCCTCCTACTGCGGCGCCTCCAGCCGCCATCTGCGAATGACAAGTCAACCAGTGACGGGGCCGGTCACCCACGACCTACCCTCTTCCACGCCTCCCCCCCTTGGCTGTCTTTCTACCGTACGATCAACCCATCGTCCGTGCGTTCTCTCAAGGGAAAAAGGCACAAGTTGACGGAAGCAAGGAACAAGCAAAGGTTCGCTTGATCGATCGTCCGTCCGCTACACGTCCTGCTCCCCGAAAGTCTATCTCTATCCACGCACCACCCCCAAACGGGGTCCCACGCGGGCAGATTTTCTCGGAAATCACCCTCCCCACCCTTGTTCGCTGCCCACAGCTCCACTTTCGGTGGTGAGGTGACCGGGGTATCGGAGCGTAGGGGGGGGGGGGGGGGTGTGTGTGTGTGTGTGTGTGGGTGTGAATTGTGAGCGGCCGCCTGTACTGGCCCTCGACGGCTTTGCTCTCTGCGAGTCTATTCTATTCTGTTCTCGTGGCTCCTCCTAAGGCTTCAAGCTCCTCTGGTGGGTATTTTTCCTTTTTCCTTTCCGATAAACTGGTAAATTAAACATCCCCAATTGAGATGAGATGGCACGAAAAGAGGGGAATGGGGAAGATGGAGGTAAAGGTATGTAGGTATGTACATGAGTAGCTGGGGAGAGAGAGGAGGAAGAGACTTTTCGCTTGACGCGTGGTTTAGATGCAGTAGCGATATGCCCGACGGACTGGAAAGCTCACGCAGAGAGGATCCTCCTAGCTCATATGAGCGAGCGCATGCATGCATCATCACCACTCGTCGTCATCAAGGGTTTCATCACCATTCTAGGGAAGAAGATGGGTTATTTGCACTTTTGTTTCGAGATCATCATGCTACTCATAATTCAAATCATAAAGCCAAAAACTACATTAATTCTCTTGTCCCTTCTAGAAATCAGGACACTGCCCACCTTCAAAAAAATAAATTCGTACTGACTCATCAAGCTATTGGCTTGTGAAACCCTAACTCGACGTAAATGCAAAACTGGAAGAGAGACTATGAGTGCAAAAGCAAAGCAAACTAGTTCCGAACCGCAAAAGTGAACAACTTGAAAAAGGAACTAGGTATTGGAGAAACATGGGGTATTCTGCAGCGGCGGCTGCACGCGCTCTATGATCATAATGATGATGTTGACTTGTTGGTGGATGTTGATGTTTTTCGTAGACGAATTGCCTGGCCCAGGGTAATGATAATGGATGAATTTGATGCGGTTTCGTTGTCGTGAGATGTGTTATTCTTTTTGCATCGATGCCGCCTCGGTCATGAATGTAGCAGAAAATGACAAGAAAAAAAGAACGCGAACAAAATAATGCAAGAAAAAAAACATGGAAAACTTGGTCGTTTCCGGAAATCCTCATTGTTCCCAGTTCCGTATGCCCTCATATCGTGCCTGTATTGTGTTCCAACCTGTCCTATCCTGTGCCGTAATAAAAAAGCGAATGGGGAAACCGGAAGAGTTGAAAGAGAGGAAAAAAGAAAAGAGACAAGCGGGAGTTGGGGAGGCAGACATTCGCCACTCTCTTCTCTTCCCTCCCCTCTCTCTCTTTCTCGCGTTCTACTCTCTCTCCTCTTCCGTCCCCTCTCGCACCCTGATCCTGACCGTATGTTCAGAATTGCTTTTTTCTCCCTCACTTGGGTTCGCGGCTCCTGCTTCCAACAAAGGAGGAAGCTAGCCTACAACACGCAAGACGCTCCGTGCCGCCGTAGCACCACCAGTGACCACTAACACACGCACACACACTCAGCAGGCAGGACACCGAAAAGACAATGAGAGTGAAACAAGAAAGGATGGTGGTAGTGAAGAGCACCAACGAGTCTGGAACCCTGCAGGTGTCAAAGACGGACACTGTACCCTTCGAGTCCGAGGAAGAGACGCCCCGCGTGGGTGTATGAAAATTCGGTGTGGGAGGGGAGAGGAGGGGGATTGCTTGTGCCTGTGTGTCTGCGTGTGCCAAGTAGGTGTGGTAGGTGTTGGGGGGAGAGAGACAGAGAGAGCGAGAGACAGCATCGGGAGGGAAATCTCTCTCCGTGAATTGTTCCCCACCGCCCTCGAACACCCTTGTCCTGGCCCCCCATTTCATCGTCGAGCGGATTGCAGACCACAGATCCCCGTCCCCTGGCTTGGCCCTTTTCTCTGCCCCCGATATGCATCGTCGACCCTCATCCGAACCTGTCCCCAGAGAGCCAGATCTTGGCGGGAAGAGAAGACGTAGGAGAGAACAGGGGTGGGGAGACGAGAGTAGCAACCGGGACCGGGGGCCCCGAGATCAGCCAGCTAAGATAGCCGTACCGCTCTTGTGATATGCCCATCCAACTAGACGGAATAATCCGCCGCAAGACGTCGTTGATTCCCGTTCCAACAGAAAAGGCGAAAGTAGTCGATGGAGAGAGATAGGCGTAAGCAGGCCAAATCGAGAGAGAAAGAGCAAACGGAAGAGGCGATGAAGTGGATAAAGAAATAACTGGGAGTTCTATTCCTCTCGGGAACTGATCTTCGCATCTGGTTTTTTGTTGCCTCTTCTGACCCATGACATTGAGAGGCGGAGACTTTTTGACTTCCCGCGACCGTCCAACCCGCCGTAAAATAATACATCATCGCCCTAAAAGGCGGGAAAGCGGGAAAGAAAGCCACCCACCCATGACCACCCAACTCGCTCTACGCTTCTGGTAAAGCGAGGGGGGAAACAATCGTTACCCCCGGTAAACGTCTTTGTAAGAAAGAAAGAAAATAGATAGAGGGAAGAAAAGAGTTACAGACCACCCCAGAGACGAAGCACACATCGCAAAGAGCCACACCAAACCGTTACCAAATCATGAGATATGATATGCCAACAGTGCTCACAACTGGGCGTTGGATCCCCAGCCGTAGATGGCACCGTCAGTGGCTGTGGAAGTGCTGTACACCCCAGAGACATCAGCCATGGTATAGGCCTGGAACTGGTAGGGCTGGGCCGCGGCCATGAAAGATCCTGGGGCGCTGGTGGGAGTTGTGACGTTGCCGCCGCCGGGCGTGCTGCCAACGATAACGGTCCTGGTGGGAGAAATGGGACTGAGATTTAGTGGGCCGCCGCCGCAGGCTTGCACCTCGCGCTGCTGCTGCTGAAAGCACTGCCCGTTGACCGCCTGGCTCCGTCTCATCATCTCCTCGTGCATTGGGAAATGCACATGCAGCTGCTGCTGATGGTGGTGGTGATGCTGCGAAGCCATGACGGGGCTCATGGACCCGGTCTGGGACCGCTGGCGCCTTGCGTTGCGGGAGTTTGTCGTGGCGCGGCCTCCTCGGCGTCCAGACATGGCACGGCCGGGCATAGAGCGGTTGGGGTAGTCGGGGTTCGGGTAGTGCGTGATGGTGGAAGAGCGGGGAGGGCTATTGCGTCTGCCCATGCCCATCGGACCGCCGCTGAGCGCGTTGGCGTTGGCGGCGGCGGCGTTGCAGGCACGGCGGCCGAGTAAGCTGCGCGAGGTGCCGCCGCGGTTGCCATCGCGGAAGTGCGTCGTAGGCAGGATGTCATCAAGGTACTTGGGGTTGAGATACCACTCAGACACGCGCTTCTCATTAGACGTGTGACCGTCTGGTTGCGTGTAGATCTCCTTCTCTCTTCTCTGGAACGCCTGGATAAGGGTTGTCATGTTAGCGAACAGGATCATTACACTCAAGTTGGGGACAAAGGAAAGCTCGTCGGTCAGGATTATGCAAGATGCAAGTGCTTCTCTAGCCAGGGGGTGAAAACCAAGCATAACCTGCATAGGGCCTTCCATGGCAGGATGACGATCCTACTGGACTGACGTGGGGCGAGCAAACAGGCAAGATACTTACGTCGTTCATGCTGAGGTTGTGGCGGATGCTGTTCTGCCACCCGTTCTTCTCGGTTCTCTGAGGTTTGTTGGTGTTGTCCCTAAACCACTTGTAGAGCTCTTGCAGAGTCATGGAGTGGTCTGGGGCGTTCTTGAGGGCTCTGTGTATGAGTTTCGCGTAAGGCGGGCCTTCTCCGTTGTTGTTGGCAGCATCTGGCTGGGGGTTGGCCTTGGGAGGAGGGCTCTGGCCACCAAGATCGGGGATGACATCAGGCAAGTCGCTAACGTGAAATGAGATCGGAGAGCCGCCGTATGGTGATCCAGGAGCGTCGGTACCGGGCGAAGATGCGTAGAGTCTGTCGCTCTCCAGAGTGCGCTGCAAGGGCTCGGGCTCGTAGTGGCGCTGTTCAAAGCCGTGGGGGTAGCCGCCGTTACCGTAGTGAAGGGAGACGTTCAGGTCTGTTCCGCGCAGAGTCTCTGGGGACATTGTCAAGTGGTCGTTGGCGAGCCCAAAGGGCGGTTCCTGTGAACGGATAGGCAACTCGTACTGAGAGGCTTGAACCGGTGGGGGAGTCTGGGTTGATGACCAGCTTCGCGGCGAGAGGGAGGCCGGGTTGTATGCCGACTGGACGGCCTGGCCGCGGTATGAGTAGTTGTTGTCAAATTCATCTGTAGACATGGACTGCGGTGAGGACCAGGTAGTCTGATTCATGACTGGCGACTGATATTGATGTTGACTGACGGCGGAGAGCTGTGAATAGTATGCTTGAGGATCTTGGACGGTGAAAGATCGTTGTTGATGTTGTTGTGGCTGTTCGGGGGCCATGGTGTTGTATGTTTCCACCATGTCCGTCCTGACGGCCAAGGTGGTTGGAGACTGTGTGGTGTTGCTCTGTTGTTGATGGTTCAGGGAAGCGCGCATGGTGTGTTGAGGCGAGTTCTTTGCCGTCATGATGCGGGAACAGTGTGACTGAGGAGGTGCAGAAGAGGAAGAGGGGAATCAGGTAACGCTGCCTGAAACAAGTTGGGGAGAAGTTTGCGCGGGAAGAGATTTCAAAACGGGGGAGAGGTCAAGATGTCACAGACACCACTTGACGATGTTGTTGTTGTAAGGATGAAGGGAGGATGGGGAGACGAGTCGAGGTTTAACAATGATCGAGGTGAGACAACAGGTTAATGATGTTGAGCTTGATATCGAAAAAAGACCGTCTCAAGAAGGCGTCTCGAGAAAGAGAGAGGAGACACGAGAGGTTATTAATGAGGCGACTTCAACGATATTGGTTCAAGAACAGAAAAGCACTGATGACTGTTGAAAGTGCCTCCAGCAAGGGGTTGACCCCGTTGTGATTTAACAAGAGAGAGGACCGTCCTATCTTCCAGATGTTCCCACGTCGGTAGTAGAGCGTTGTGAAGGTCGTGCAAGGAACAGAAGACGTATGTCGCCCAATTTGGTCTTCTTGTGTACAAGAGATAGGTACGTACAGATCTGGGATGGACCAAAGAGGCGCAGGACCAGGGTAGTTGCAAGATGGAGGGGCGTGTGGACTGTCTATAAAAACTGACATGGGATGCAGGGGGGTGTCAGCGTAACATGGCCATGTGGATATCGGGGGAGAGAGTGAAAGTGAGTGAGAATGAGAGAGAGGGCAACGTGTGCCAGCTCAGTGCTTGGCCCTGTTTTAGCATTGTCTTCCCGCAGCCGCGGCGGCGCCATGTGTGCGTGTGCGTGTGTGTCTGCGTGTATGTGTGTATGTGTGTCTGTCTGCTTGTTGTGTATATGCTTGTGTGCGTATATGCGTCTGTCTGATGTTCTTCTGTATGCGCGATTGCTGGTCTGCGCGCCCTCCAATCCCCTTTACTCTCTCTGCCGCCTGCGTGTCCGTGTCTGTCTTTGCCCATCTGTGTGTCAACTAGATGGAGGTCCCCATCCACGCCTGCGGCAACCTCTCTGCTGCATGCACAGATCCGTTGCAGCCTCTATTCTCCAAGACCGGACGCAAACGGAAACAGATGGAGGCTTGGATGTGGCTTCTGCCATCAGCTCCGTCTGGGGCAAGTGCAAGAGTCGACTGGGATCATGGAATTTCTATTCTGAAATGCTGATTGAAGGAATGTTGGAGATGGCATACGCTTCTGCGTCCTCATGAAGGGTTCAGGTTAGTAAATCTGAACTGACGGATGCCCTGTTGCCAAAGAAAAGGTGTGAGGAGTCGAGGACGCCTGGGGTTGGACTGGGCGGCATGGAGAGCCTCCAAGGGCGTTTCTTTTTTGGGATTACCTTTCTCTCCCCTCCCTCGTCTCCAGGTAGTCTCTTACCCGAAGGTAAAGCAAAAACCGTTGGAACTCACAACGCCACCGATCTGGTTCCCATTCGTCAAGAGCCGTCGACCCATGATCCAGGTCGTCTGCGTGCAACCACGGTTTGATGGCAGGAGCGGAACTCTGCCCTAGTGACCATACGGGACGACCATGGCGGCCATGACGGCCTAGTCCATCGCCCCATACGGGACGCGGGTGGAGAGGGGGAGTGTGGAAGGTCAACGGCAGGATACCAGCATGGTACACGCTCTAAGCCTGAGGCTACCTCGACACCAAGCGAGATCGCGAGAGAGGAGAAGAGAGAGAATGAAAGATTGTTGCACACATCCACAGCCAGGCCGATATGGGTAGCAGGTCGTGGCGGGGCGATTGTACCAGGTACAGCTCAACGTGAGATGTACAGATGTACGCCTGTCATTCTCATTGTTGGAGTGAGGCCCGCCAGCCAGCTTGACCAACCAACCAACCAGTCAATCATCGAGCTGAGAGAAGGCATCTGGGGCAGAACAACAGCTCCTCGGAGACCAGCAGCAGGTACACCGGACGCGTGCATTGACTTTGGCGAGAAGACCAATCACCCGCTGCTGTCTCCACGAGCGCTGCCTCAGAGTCCTAGCTTGTACCAGTCTAAAGGAGTTGCAAGGCAGGCGGAAGATCGACCTGTTGATGCCAGCCCGCGGGCACGTAGATCATTTTCGAATTCTAGAAAGTTCGTGGTGCTCCCAGAGGCTCAACGATGTCGACACGGATTAAGAACAGGGAAATCATGTAGTCAAGGTGGAGATGCAATGCTGCCTATGCCGAAATGTGGCCGCTTGCTCAAGTGTGGTGTTTCGAGTTTCTTTGCCTTTACATCTGTGCATCACGGGGAAGACCGATCGTTCCAGCTAAGTAGTACCCAGGGGATTCTGCAGTCGTCATAGTACGCTATATTCCACCGACGACGCCCAACGGCCAAGTCGGTGAAGGAGTTGGATCGCCAGCCCAGAGATGAGAGGGCAGGCGTGGCAGGGTGGTGGGTGGATTCGTCTGCGGTGGCGTGGAGATCAGCAAGTAACTGCAGCCATTGTACTCCGACTCTGGTCAGGATAGCTTCATACAAGTCTGCTTAAAAACATGTCAGTTGTCCGGGGCCGGCAGCATTGAGCGCCGTGGGGGCCAGGCAGCTACTCCAAGAAAAGGTACAGCCAGAGTCCGAAAAGGGTTGCCCTGGCGCCCCGTCCGGTGCCCTGATGCCTTGGTGCCCTGGTACCAACTTCCAACGGTTGCACGAGAAGATGGAAAGGAGGTGATTGATTAGTTGCAGACGAGAGCTATGGTCGCCTGTGTGATTGTGCGTCATCCTCTTGTCTTCCCAGGAGGTCGGCCCGCGGCCAGCTGCGGTCTGTTACGGTCGTCGACGGGTGTAGAATCCGAACGGTAGAGGACGGGAAAGGAGGAGAGGAATGTACGTGGTACCAGCGAAAGTGAGAGCGGCGAACGAGCGAGCGGGAGAAGAAGACGAGGCGGATGGGATCTGGAGATGGAGAGCAGATACAGATCTGTCCTGGCTTCTGGCCCGGCCAAAAACAAAACAACCTCCCAACCCCAAACGTTGTCACGATGTATCCGCCCAGCCGGTTGATTCTGTCACATCGTGACATCGTAGATGCATCGTGACAATACGAGCGAGCCTCCTTTCCAACCCCAGCCCGATTCTGGGGACAATTACTTCCGGTAGTAGATCTGCGGAAGGGGGGCATCATGTCAGTATGGTTGCAATCAGAGAGAGTCAAACGTGGGAGTGGACTTGTTCCTTACCTTTTTGAATTGAAAGTGCAGTTGCAGGATACCCTGCAGGGAGTATAAGATTAGCTCAACGCCATGACAAGGGTGGTTGGTGACAGTGATGTGACAGAAAAACAGGAGAATTTGTCCAGAGGCGCGCGTGTAGGCGGTTGGGCGGGGGGGATGGCGGAGTCGGCGGTCTGGCGGAAAGCGAAGGGTGTTTTCTCTCATCCCCGTCGTGGACCGCCTGTCTCGGTATTGGAGAACGGTCTCATGGAGGGTCGGTTCCTTCGACATGACGGCAAATTGGGGAAACGAGGAGAGGAGAGAAGGGTAAGGGGCACAGTTGTGCGGGCGTTCCTCTTTGCAGCCCCCCCTAGAGTGATTCTTGTGCTCTCCGTGCATATGCACCGCGTCGACTCCGCCACGAGCACTATGAGAAGGGAGAGAGAAGCAAGACCAAGACGCAAAGAAAGGGCCACGTGAAGACGGTGTAGAAAACGCCACAAAACATACCTTATCGAAGGAACTTCTGAAGCCCCGATCCTTCTTTGCACTGTAATCCCACTCGCGGTCCACGATTCTAAACGCAATGTCTTCGTATGGGGGACCTGCGATGAAACGGATGAGGCACGTATCTTCCTCCCCTGCTGCGGCAAAAGACTCTCCCCTTTTTCTACCGTGTTCTCGAATGATTTTGAAAGTGGGCGCCTTGGTTTTGTCGATGAGTTCGGGATAGAAGATATTGAACTTGTAGCCCTGGACAACCTTGGGCGGAGGGTTGTCGTGATCGTAATGTGTCTGGTTGTACTTGTTCCATTCGTAGCCCATCTGAACGCGGTTGAAGTATTTCGGCTTTCGTGGCCGATGCTTATCAGCCCATTGAGGTTTCGAACCACTTGCAACGGTCTCTTCTGCCGTGAATATCTCCTCGTCTTCGCCAATACCACGCGCGACCTCACGGTCGTATAGTGCTTTGGTGGCTTGGGAGAAGTCTTCGTTGCCCATCTGTGCAAATCGAGCTGTTCCTGGGGGCGCACTTGAAACAGGTACCGCCTTTGTTTCCGTCCTGCTTGGTTCAGATGACAAGTTCCTGACTGCTGCAGGGCCCGAAATAGAATTGGCATGGTTGGCCTGGTGTTGTCCTAGTGCCTTTGCCTTTTCCGGATCCTGCAGCTTGAGCAATGCGGCTTTGCTGTCGTTGATTGCTTCGGACACCTTTCTCAGCTTGGCCTTAGCCTTCCACACCAACAGACTGCGCAGGAGCTGCTCCCAGTAGTCGACATCGATATCGTCGTTGGAGCGGAGCTTTGCCTTGATCTGTGATTCGAGTGCCTCGAGCTGCTCGTACGTCTTGGGGCGCAGGATCTTGTCGACGTCTTCGGATACTGTGCTGACGACCCGAGCGTCTGGACCTTGTGGTTTCAGCTTCTGCCGCCTGTCGGCACAGATAGTTTGCAGCGATGTCCAGTACTCGCGGTTGCGGTCGTTCTGCTCGAGGGTGTGGTAGGACGTGATGTCAGAATCCAGGTCTCGAAGCTGTGATTCGTCGAGCCCCTGCAGGACCTCCTCTGGAGAAGCCACATTGAGGTGTAGATCAGCATCGTCGTCGTCGAAGACGTCCCGGTCGTCGTCGATGAAGCGCAGATTGAAGGCCAGCAGATCAATAGGCTTGGCTCGGCCTTCCCGAACTCGAATATCAGCCTTCTTCTTGGCCTGTTTCAGAACGAACTTGTCCTCGTCGGCAACAAACTGTCTAGACTGCTCATCCTGCGTCATGTAGCTCGAGTTGTTGTTCTGACGTGGCCTCGAAGAAGGGGGAGGGTTCGAGGGTTTGGTGATGCGGTTGTTCGGGTCGCGTCGTGGAGAGGCTATGTCTCTGTCTCTTTCGCGATCTCTGCGGCTGGGTGATCTGCGCCCAGAGAGCATGGCTCTACGGCCCGGGTCCATGTTTGCTATCGTTGAGAAAATTGGGGGATCGGCGACAACGGTTCTGGTGTCAGGTAAAATGCTGTCTTGGTCGTGAAGGTTGTAAGTTGTGGCGATCTAGTCGTCGCTCGTCGCCAGTTGCCTTGCGACGACGGGGAAAGAGGCTTATCGGCGACTGCCTTCCAACGGGGCAGCTCTTATCGCCATGTGACGTGGATCTGCTGCGAGGGTCCGGCTGATCTCCGGCATTGCCGGTGTACCTAGCCCAGGGTACACCGAGACCTACCGAGATTGGCCCTTCTCACCGAGCGTTGGTTCTCGTCCTTACCTCTCGCCGCACGGACGGATCCGAGGAGGCCAATCAGATTGCCTTCCATGCTTTCTCCGCCCCGCTATGGACTCAATCAGGCGGGGCCGCCGCTAAACCAGGGCCCTGGGACGGCACGCTAGAGCTGATGCACGTCCAGATCTCCCGATTTCAGGAACATGATGACGCACAAGACATCGGCCGATCGAGGACCTGTCTCCAGCTGGATCCCATCGATTCCCCATGCCAAGAGCTAGAGAGCTTGATGGGAGGGCAAAGATGAAAGTTCGCATTATGAAATAATCAAATAACCGATTCAAGGTCAATCTGTTGGCTTGGAACATCACCGTTCCTCTCACCTTATGCTTCCGTGTCGCGTCTTGCGTCCCAGCCACGCGCTTCCGTCCTTAGCTACTTCTTATACTCGTGCCGCTTCTGCTCCCACTGCTCCCATCGCCTCCTCCTCGCGCTTCACCTCGCGTCTCGCCTCGCGCTCTTCTCAGCTCTACACCTGTCGTCCATTCTACAATCATCGCCAGCCGAGCCTGATCAACCTCCTAACAGAGTCCTCTCATCCTCGCTACTTCACCACGATGCCACCAAAGCAGAAGCGCAAGGCGGCACCCGCTGCAGAGTCCAGTGACTCTGGAAGAAAGAGGATCAAGACCGAGCAAAACGGAGGGGATCCCTTGCGCAAGCCGCACCCTTTCCACGAGGACGCCGAGAAGCATGGAATTGTCCTCCGCAAATTCTACCCACACGAGATGAGCAACGACCGAGCACGCGCCTATAACGAGAACGAGCTTCCTCGACCAATCGAGGAGCTCACATCCGCTCTGGAGCAGACTTCCAAAACGCGAAAGGCAGTCAAGACAAAGAACGCCGTGGTACATTGGTTCAAGATGGATCTCCGGACAACAGACAACCGATCGCTGTCCCTAGCGAGCGAGAAGGCCAAAGAGGCAGGGGTTCCACTGATCGCCATGTTCATTGTCAGCCCCCAGGACTATGAGGCTCATCTAACGGCCCCCATCCGTGTCGACTTCATGCTCAGGACCCTGCATGTTCTGAGGGAGGACCTCGCCAAGCTTGACATCCCGCTCTATGTCGAGACCGTTGAGAAGCGCAAAAGGATTCCCGTACGGATCGCTGAGCTCATGGATCAATGGGAGGCCAGTCACTTGTTTGCCAATATGGAGTACGAGGTGGACGAGCTTCGCCGGGAGGGGAAGATGGTCCGCATGTTTGCCGACAAGGGCCTCTCGTACGAGGTACTGCATGATACGTGCGTCGTCCCTCCCGGAAATTTGACCAGCGGGGCAGGCAAACAGTATGCCGTTTATTCACCCTGGTTCCGGGCCTGGGTCCGTCACGTCCACGAGAAC